GGATCTCGTACACGCACAGGACCATGGACACCAAGGTGTCTTGATGGGGAAAACCACAAATTCGATAACTGCCCGTACGTTAACCAGTCAGTTCGGACAAAGGGCTGGAAGCCAGACAAGGCAATTCAGGATAAGTTCACAGAGCTTAGAGACAGTCCTACGTCGAATTCGATAGCTAATGCACTAAGAGCAACAGAGCGGGGGCTTAAGAAGAAGACGAAGCCGCAGGCTGAGGTCCAGAGCTCTTCCATGATCAGTATGGACGATGGACAGCCAGCGCGCAATAAGCCACACGTTAATGCGGTGTTGCAGACTGCAGCAGCTACAGGACTGTCAGCTCCACCGCTGCTCACGAGATGGATACTTGATCCAGGTTCGAACTGCCACGTCACGAATACGAAAGGAGCCGACTGGATCTTGACAAAGAAAGGGGAGCCTTTAGACTGTGTATACGCTGGAGGAGCCCTCACTCAAGTCGAAGAATGGGGAGAAACGACTATCCAGGTCAAGACTCCGACAGGAGAAGGACAAATGAAGCTTACATGGGTGGCATACATCCCTGGCTTCTTCACGAGCGTCGTTGGCCTATCGCGGAGCCGATCTCTCGGCATAAACTTCGACTCAGGCAGAGACTGTCTGTATCAGAAGAAGGCATCGAACGTAATCTGTCTTCTCCAGTACAGAAACGGTCACTGGCTTGTCGACGTGGAGAAAGACCAGAAAGTTGAGCTGGATCTACTCTCTACGTACGCGACTCGATATACCAAGCCCTCAAAGGAACCGAGGAAGGATCTCTTAGTCAGTCAGGACACGGCTCATCGGATGTTCGGCCATATTAGCCGAAAAGCAGTTGGGCACTTAAACGATCATGTGATCGGGATTAGTGTCGAGGAGCAGGCAATTGCTTCGACATGGACAGACTGTCAAGTTTGTATTGAAACGAAGCTTCACAAGTTTGTGAGCAGGAGAGCTCAAAGTGAGCTAGCTGAACGTCCGTTCTACCGAATAGGAATGGACCTAGTGCAGCTAAGAGAAAGAAACGAGCGCTGCTACAATGGAGATCTATGGATGCTCCATGCAGTGTGTTCGTATAGTAAGTGGCATGAGGCATGCTGCCTAGCAGATAAGAGCTCAGGCACCCTTAAGCGTACAGTGATGCGTCTACTAGCTAAGATCAAACGCCAGTTCGACGCGGTCGTAGTAGTCGTGAAGCTTGACAACGAGCGCGGCTATAGCGAGTTACTCTATGTGCTTAAAGATCTCGGTATTATTGTGGAACCCCGAGCTGAGTACACAGAGGAGCAGAACGGCCTATCAGAACAGGCTGGGAAGATGATCGTGATCCGAGCGAGAGCGGTCAGAATTGATGGAAGACTGCCAATGGAACTCTCAAATGAGTGCTGTCTTGTGGCAGTCTACCTGCTTAACAGAACACCAGTCGAATCACTAGGATGGAAGACTCCGTACGAGGTAGTACGGGGACAGAAGCCGTCGGCAGCTCACCTCAATGTTGTGGGAGCCCGAGCCTACGTGCTGAATAACAAGCTGAAGCGTGGAGAGAAGCTCGAATCTCGCGCATTAATTGGACAACTGGTTGGATATGACTCCACGAACATATACCGAGTATGGATGCCAGCATTGGGACGAGTCCTCAGGACGAGAGACGTCGTCTTCATGTCTAATGATGGAACTGAGCCTGTCTACCCAGATCGACAGACTCTGAGAGAGGTGGTGACGATACTGGACGTTCCAGAACCACTAGAGGAAACCGACCAGGAGATAGAAATGCTCCTACAGTCGGCGCAAAGAGACTGGAGTGGTCCGAGCCGGTCCGAGCAAGCCGCTCGAACAGACCACGCCAAGGATGCGCCTCGGACGTTGCCAACACCTGAGAGCACTCCAGAATCAATGCCTGAGCCTGAGCCTGAGCCTGAGCCTGAGCCCGAGCCCGAGCCCGAGCCCGAGCTGGAAACAGTCGAAATGCCGCGAGGCTGGGAGCAGATACCAGCCGAAGCAGAGGCACCAGATCGACGATTGAACAACGCTCCAAGACGTGAGGAGATTAGCGGTCAGGTTAGTGAGTCTAACGTTCTGACGGGAAAAAGACATAGGAAGACGCTTGGCACGTACTTCGTTGCGTTCGCTGAAGCACTTCAGCAAACAGAGCCACAGAAATCACGGCTACACAGGGATGAGCTTCCGCCTCCGCCAAAGAGATGGAAAGACCTAGAGAAGCACCCTTTCGGACAGGAATTTAAAACGGCAGCAGCGAAAGAATTCAAGAGCTGTCGTGAAAAGGGCTGCTTTAAGACAACGTCAGCCACAGTGATTAATAGCCAGAGATTGCCCTTGATGTGGGTATTCACGTACAAGTTTAATGAAGACGGACTTCTGTACAAGTACAAGGCTCGGCTTGTCGTAAGAGGAGACCTCCAGGAGGACTGGGGCGACACGTACGCAGCCACGCTGGCCGCACGAGTGTTCAGATTCCTCATGGCTCTCACGGCAGCCTTTGGCCTGAAAGCATATCAGTATGATGTGCTAAACGCGTTTTTGAACGCACCTCTTGAGAAGCTAGTCTACGTACAGACTCCAGATCCGTACGTAGAAGAGCTTGGCAAGATACTCGAGCTTAAGAGAGCTCTTTATGGGCTAAAAGACGCGCCTCTTCTCTGGTACAAGCACCTGAAGGAGACGCTAATTAAGTTGGGTCTGAAACCAGTAAAGGACGTTCCTTGCTTGTTTACCAACGAGAGACTGATAGTCTTCTTCTATGTTGATGGTATCGTGGTACTGGTACATCCGGATCACCTTGATGATCATCAGGAATTTGAGAGACGACTGGAGGCGGTATACGACCTGAGAAAGCTTGGAGAGCTCAAGTGGTTCCTTGGGATCAGAGTTCTGAGAGACTGGACAGCAGGAAAGATCTGGCTAACACAGGACTCATTTATTGAGAAGGTAGTCAACAAGTATGACTTAGATCAGAAGTCAGGGGGGAGATATCCAGCAGTCCCGCTCGTAGAGAACTCTCTGGCCCAGTCAACCGAGGATACGAGTAACCAGCGTACTCAGCTGTACCAGCAGCTGGTTGGATCGCTGGCGTATATCTCGACGTTCACGAGACCGGATGTGGCACGAGCCCACTCCGTACTGGCCCGGCATCTCCAGAACCCTGGGCAGAAGCACGTATCGGCAGTAAAGCATGTCTGGCGATACCTGTATAGAACAAGACATCTAGCGATTAGAGCTAGTCAGCAGATAGCAGAGAGCTCGTCCTACGTCTGGGACAAGTCTCTCTTCTATAGAGCATCTGATGCAGCGTTTGCTGATGATGTGGAAAGTCGTCAATCATCTCATGGATATTTGTTCAAGCTCTATGGGATGCCTATTGACTAGAAGGCTACCCGCCAGAGATCTGTTACAAAGTCAACAACTGAGGCTGAGCTGATAGCTCTATCAGCAACCGGAGGGGAGATGGAATGGTGGACCCGGGTCTTCCAGCATATCAAGTTCGACCCGGAGATTCAACCAACGATCTACTGCGACAACGAGCAGACGGTCGGGATCGTTAAGAAAGAAGACGAACGGCTTCACACGAAGCTAAGACATGTAGACACCCATCAAATGTGGGTAAGACAGGAGGTACAGGAAGGAAGGCTCTGTGTAGAGTGGTGCCCTACAGCAGAGATGCCTGCAGATGGACTCACAAAGTCCCTCGTAAGGCAGAAACACGCCGAGTTTGTGAGACAGCTAGGGCTTGAAAATGTTCGCCAGCTTCTTACTACTCATGTAAACACACCAGAACCAACCGAGCTATGGCACTGGCACTAGTCAGCTTTGTTGATCACGGCAGCTGGGGGGGAGTGTAACGGTTTGGGACTTGCCAAGACCGACTTGGGTGAGAGTTGGGTACGGCCATCGCTACCACACTTTCTCATCACACACACCTATATAGCTGCAGTTCCTCCATAGCTACACAATGCAACGCAGTCCTCCTCCTCTCCTCACACCGTTACACTAATGGCCCGCCATCTCAATTCCCTCGCCTCGCGATTCTCAATCGCACTTGGAAAGAAGCAATCGAGACTATCACGTTTCGCCAGCTAGGTGTTAAGGGCGATGAGCTGGAATCGCTTCAATCGATCGTGACGGGGAACCGCCGCAAGCACCTTGCCTGGATAAGTTTTACAGCGGACTTGCCAGCATATTCAGAAGAAGCATACGCACACAAGGAGTCACGACTTGAACAAGACGCGAACAACGAGGCATTCAAAAAAAGCATATGCAGTCTTTTTACGGTCTTACAAACCTGGGAGGACAGTGGTGTGCAAAACGCATTGCGGCTTGATATCTTGACGGCTGTTTCGCCTACCGACTCTTGGGAAGTGGATGACGTCCAGATTGCGATTGGTGACTGGAGAGATATCCTATCAGATTGTTGGAAAGATTCGCGCCTGCGCCTTGTTCAATCTGACAACCTGCCCACGTTGTCTAATGTGCAGCACCTCACTATCGAGAATGGCGGGCGGAGATTTGCACCATCCGTTGCACCAGGTTTAGCGTTGTCACTGCCAGAACTCAAGACAGTCGACTGGGAGTTTCAAGACTGCGAGGATGATTCTAATGACGAGTCAGATCGGGACTCATTAGATTCAGACTATGCCCCTGAGTGGGTATCGGCGACATCTCCTCAAGCGCGCGCTGAGGCTCGCGCTGAATTTGCCAACAAGCTCTCGGTGACGCAACTTCGCTCTCTCAACTCTGCTGCCATCACCTTCTACTACCGAACCCCTTCAGATTAGAGGTATACAGCTCTGAGCATTGTGCCAGAGGGTCTCACATACGACTCGCTCAGTTCAGCGCTCCGAAACTTCTCACAGCATCTTACAAATCTTACTTTGAGTGCGTGTGTCGACTCCAGTCTATTCTGGCCGGCTGAGGAAGACGCGATTCCACCGTCTTGGCCCCACTTGAAGTCCCTCGACATCACGTTCGACATGGTATCTCCATCTGGTAAATGGTATTTCACCGGCCCACGACCAATCGACCATCCTGATGACAATCCCGTGCGCGGTATCATCGGCGGTTTCAATGAGCGCGAGTACAGCTACAGGGACTTCCGGCAACATGCAGGCCCAGAAACCTTCGATGCTTTCCTCAGCGCCTTCGCAAAAGCTGTCGCTCAGATGCCTGTCCTAGAGTTCTTTATGCTTACTTCTGAGCTCGTAGGTGAGACGGGAAAATTACACATCTCATATCATGCGCCAGGGCAGAGAGCGGAGTGGGGAGATGGAGAAGCGGAGGATGAAGAGCACCGAAGGATCTACTACGCCTGTGAGGTTGGGAAAGTATGGATACCGGAACCGGAGACTGCGGCAGCTTTAAGACGCACAGGATTTCAAAAGTACGGCGGGGAAGTGATCGAGGGATACGTGGGAAGTCAGTACTGTTAAATGTGATGAGGTTTCAAAGACAGTATAAGGCTAGTTCTATTTTGCCAAAATTGCTGCCATATCAGCAGAGGACAGTGAACGTGTGCTTTCTGAGGACGTTTGCTAGCGCTTCTTTATTGTTAGGGCTCAACGCTCTTTCTTTACTGTATATGTCCCGAATCTTTGCAGGGCTAGTGAAGTCTCGGCGAAGGACCGCGCATTTCTCGATTATCACTGGGGTTACGGTGTGAAGAAGGGGGATCTTGGAGAAGCTTGTGGAAACAAAGAGACTAAATGATTGAAAAAGGGGTATCTATCTGTATGTACATAGGAAAATCTACTATTTAAACTCTCATCTTGCGTTCAAGCCGTGCTCGCTCTTGACATTCTTTACTTACACACCGTATATTCGCTGATATCATCAAATATACAGCCTTGGCCATATTTGCTGTATACCTTCGGACTGCCACAGTCTTATGAACAACAAACGCGAGAGATACATCAATTGTTCTCCCGTTCTCACTTGAAATGCACACAGTATGCGGGCTCCTGAAAAGGTGCCATGCGTGTTTATCACGCGCTCGATGGGGTTAATCATGTGAGCCTCTCCGTATACCTTGATGCTCGGGTTTTACACTGATGTACTTTGGGTTCAAATACACCGCAATCGTGTCGAGTTGGTATGTGTAGATGTCTCCGGTCCACGAGTAACGTTTTGCCGAGTAACGTTTTGCCGAAAGTGGGTAAAAGGCCGACCTTACTAAGCGGGTGGTTATCTGTCTTCTACCGTCATATAGTCCTATGTGAAGAAATATCGATGTGGGTGGAAAGCAGCGGGTATGCGTGTCTATCATGCCGGGAGGGTCCGTACGTCATTTGTCTTGCTGTCGCGAAGATATGTAGAGCAAAGAGATGGCTGGTCATCAATCTGTTTGCGCAGCTAAGTCTGCTAGCCGTCACAGAGACTGCGGAAATTCATGGTGTTGCTGGAGATTCTCCTTGTTTGTGTGCGAAGCGAAGCTTTCAACGTTGCCCTGAACCGTACTTCATATCATATCTTCTTTCCCACTCGGCAGATACATCGCCTTGGTAGTTCTTCTTCAGGACGATTTTTCCGCTCCCATCATCGTGGTGCAGATCCTCTGTGCTTTTTATGCAACTCGTAGAAAGTCCTTGGTAGCTAGCTGCCGGAATTGGCAAATGCATATCAAGGTCCTCTTGGTGCAAGCCCCAGATCTCATCTTTCCCGCGTACCGCAAGTTCTAATGTGCTGTCACTCTTCAAGGAACCCCGGGAAGATCTGCGACCAGTGGGAGAGGTTGTAATGGCTCGAGGCAAGATGGGCTGGGGCACAAGCCTTGCAGGACTAGAAGAGTTAGATATAACGCAATCAGCACAATTGTTTCGTTACTCACCTCGAGGGTTCCTTTGTATTAGGACATGACTTAAAGTAGAAGCAAAATATACACAAATTCATGTTGGTAGTGGCTGAGAAACACTAAGAAAGCCAATGTAGCGGTGGCAATGGCCAACAGCAAAGCTGATTTGCCGTACAGAGGTCCGAGTTAGAAATGATTTGAATAACCCGTTTGAACAATCGTGAAAGGCGTTAGAAAGTTCGTGAATGCAAATATAGTGTCGTCTTTCCAGTGGATATGCTTACTTCCCGGACGCCGAGAGTTCCACCAAGGACAACCCTTTTTGTGACTCGACCCACAGGTAGGCTGGTTCGTCGTCAGCCATGTTGCGATCGCGGTTAATAGTCCGGCTTTATGGATTTGGAATGCCAATTAAAGTCGCTGCGAACGGGCCGTTCGTTCGCCATCATCAATGACTCCTGAGTGGTGGGCATTGGTCCATGCGCAAAGTAAGGATGACTCGCAAAGCAAATACATCGGGTTTGCCGAATTTGTATCTCGGAGACTTTGAGTTCAGGTGTCATGCATGTCTTACTTACATGAATGCTGTTCACGTGTTTGTAATGCTGACATGTTGTGGATAGGCTCGTGGCGCGGTATTAGCCTCCAAAAGGGCTACGACTGTGTATGTACGTTTTGACCCCTGACGGAAACAAACCTTCCCTAGTAATGTCCTTGGGAGTTCCTTAGCTTCCGCGACCGTGACAGTTTTTAGGCCCGGAATCATCGCTCCGCTATACTCACCTCACCTGCGGCGTTACCCGAGAATGAATCATAAGCGCGGCGGCATTACTATATCATCTGGTGATAAGGTTCCACTCCGGCAATCTCCTAGCGCTAAAGTTGCCGTTCCCATACCGGTACGTGAGTATGTGTGGTTGCCAAACTCCGATTTCGAACTACATTTTTAAGCTCGTTATTCAGCTATGCACGTCGTAAGAGTGTTCGGAGGCCGACCAGCAATACGGAGGATACGGCGTAAGCCTTGCATTACCAGATCGTGATCAGGCAGCCTGCCGGCTCTGGGCGAGCGCCTACTGACTGCGCCGCATTCCTTCATACCTAACAAAGCGTGATAATTTGGGCATCCAAGCACTTGGGTGCAGCGTCCAATATCTGGAGAGTTTTCTTCCTAATTGGGTACCTAGGTAGTCTTTGGGTCTCCCTGTGCCACACGCTGGACCTGCGCAGTGTTTTCCGAATGCGTGGGTAGACAGCGGGACAGCGGGAGGCGGATCGAAAGCTCTAATTTCGATGTCCTCGCCTTCTTAGCCTTCTTGGCCTCGGGACGTTTGGACGCGACGTCTCTTGTCTCTTGGGGAAGTTGGATGCGAAGTGTGAAGGTGATGGCGGCGGCGACTGTTGTGTGGCAAGCCTGCGGGGGTGCACCCGTCTCCGATTGGCTGATAAGATGGTCATGTCAACCAACTGAACTCACTTTGTGACCTGTCTCATCATCGAGAGAAGATCACCAAATCCCTCGGCCGAACTTCAGAATAGCATAGGTTCTTTTATTTCTCAGCATTGGATTCACTGCATGTTGTCGCCCAAGTAATTTCCAAGAACCCCCTTGGGCAGTCTGCGACCTCAGGAGGTACGGTACTTACCTACCTAGGTATGCATGAAGTTGCCTGTGGCCATCACTTGATTAACTTTCCTATATAGAATTTCCTATGTGTTTCACTTTGCTATGCATGGGCTGATGTCCCTTACCAAGGACGTTCAAGTTTCGCCCTATCTAGGCATGCAGGTCGTAGAACAACGCCCTTTCGCAGATCTCTTTCGTTGTGGGCTGTTCGTACCCCAGATCATGGGGCCAGAAAGAGAATTGACGGACCACTCTATCGCAACTTCGCCGAAGACAAGGAGTGGAGTGAAAGCACAAAGCTTACTGTGACATCACCGATGAAGTCTATGCAAAGCGTCAGACGGCAGCGACCCGCTCCCGCAAACCCTATCGTATTGCTAGGCGACCATACGAGACTTTGACTTTTCGTGTCCAACACGAGATTGATACGAAGATACTCAGGCGAGCCGGCGATAGCTGGACTTAAGACACCCTAAACCTCTTATGCGCGCCATGTCGGAGCCGAACACCCGACCGGAGATGGTTGCATGTCCGACTTCTACCTTTACTCTGGTCTTAAGAGAGTAAACTCCGCTGTAGACTCCCGCAAACCTGCTAGTACAGGACTTTATGGCTTCAACCCGAGAGGTTAGTATACTAAGTGCATTTGATCAAACAAGTATAAGTAGAGCAAGCAGTCATGTTTCTTCATTAATCATCTCTTACATTAACCTCCTTCACATCTCTCAATTCTCGATTCGTAAGATCCAACTTTCAATCATCAATCCCAATCGTCACTTGCCAACAACGCAGCCCAATTCTAATAATGTCCAACAAATCCATCCTTGCCGTCTTCGGCGCAAGCGGAAACCAAGGCTACAGCCTCGCCCACCACGTCCTCACTCACCCCACCCTGTCCAAAACATATACTGTCCGCGCTCTATCCCGCACGACTTCCCACCCCCTTCTTACTGCCCTCTCCTCTCTCGGCGCCCAAACCGCCTACGCGGACATGTCGCTCCCCTTGACCCTCGCTCCCGCCCTCACCGGCGTCACCCACCTCTTCCTCCTAACCACCACCTTCTACACCGGCAACACCCGCACCCTCGAAACCCAGAACGCCCGAAACGTCTGCACCGAAGCCGTCAAACAAGGCGTACGCTACATAATCTTCAGCTCCGCAGCTCACGCCTCCGAAATCACGGATGGCAAGTTAAGCAACGTCGAGCACTTTGATGTTAAAGCCGAGATAGAGGCATATATCCGCAGCTTACCCATTCAAAGCGCTTTCTTTGCCCCAGCGTCATTTATGCAGAACCTGCACACACATATGCGACCGCAGCCCAGTGGCGAGGGCGATGGGAGTTATGTGCTCACGACTATGCTGAGAGACGACACAAAAGTCCCGTTTATCGATATCTTGGATACTGGAAAATTTGTGGGGGCGATACTCGCTGAACCACAAAGGTACGCTGGTAAGTACTTGGCCGCAGCGGAAGGGTTCTATACGCTGAGGGAGATTGTGGCGGTTATGGCAAGGGTGACGGGTAAGACCGTGAGGCACGTGCAGCTGGAGGATGAGATTGTGAAGGCGAGGTTTCCAGAGGGGCTGAGGGGGGCGTTGGGCGAGATGTGGATATTGTGTAGGGAGTATGGGTATTTTGGGAAGGAACAAGAGGAGTTGGTGAAGTGGGCGAAGGAGCAGGTCGAAGGGAAGTTGACGGGCATGGAGGAATTCTTGAGGATGAGTGGGTTTAATTTGGAGTGAGAAAGGGTGAGGTGTCGTAAAGGCCTTACAATGTAGAGTCGTTCCAGAATCTGGGCCATGATAAATCAAACCTTATATGTATGTATTGTGTAATATATGCAAATTAAATTCTGTTTAATAAAACGAAAATCATTACGGATTTTTCCAACTCCAGACCTTGACGAAAAGTCATGTTTTTGCTCGTGCATGGAATCACGGCTCACCAGCGCCTAATACAAGATCTCTAGTAGCCAGTATACCCCTGCATATTTGGATCCGGGTTAAAATTCCACATAGCCATGGAATCTGGAATAAACAGCGCGGAAAGATCCGCATCTGAACCTGTGCCCAAGTCAAACTGCGTAAAGTCAAAGTTGATGTCAAAATGAGGCTGCCCGTTAAGGCCCATCATGTCCGGCGTGGGTTGGGCAGCCATGTTGGGATACCAGTTTGGCGGCATGGCTTGTTGAGAGTGTTGCGCATGAGCTTGAAGGGCGGCTTGAGCTTGTTGCTGGGATCGAGTATGCGCTTGTGTCTGCTGCTGCTGTTGTTGCGAAGCGGCATTATTGCTGCTACCCATTGCGACTTCCGAGAGAAGATGAAGTGGTGTTTGGTTGGCGGACTGGTGTGTGGAAGTACTGGGAGCTTGACTGGCATTCCGGGAAGATTCATAATCGGAGTCCTGATGCTGGTCTTTGGCGGCCCCTTCTTTGATATGAGCGAAACGCTCCTGTAGCCGCTTGGCAACATAATAAAACTTTCCATGTGGGGACTGGGCATCGCGGGATACAATAGCGTTGAACATTGCAACCAATTGCTCGGTATACACTTCAATCTGCAGATCCTCTTTCTTGATGATGCTGCTTACTTCTCCGGAACTGGTCACCGACACCCACATTTTCATCAAGCAGACAATTGCGTAAATTGCACGTACGCCTGGACAAGGTTAGCTCGACGAAGCACCACATAGTCAAGCCGACTTACAGAAGATGACTGGAAGAGTCAAAAGGATATCGAGTTGGATACTTAAGATGGTATCCAATATGCCATGTGTAGCCGCGAGACAGTCTCCAAGGGCACCGATATGCGCTGGACCGACGGGTGCATCCTTCTTGACACCCGAAGATAATGACGGCGATAACGATAGCGAATCTGAGATGTACGGCGGTTGTAGATCAGCAGAGCCCTGATTCTGATGAAGCGCTATTTCGTGCAAGTAAAGATTTGTAACATGCTCTGACAGTCGAAGTGTAGCTGGAAATGTTAGCTATTGCATATCAAACTCTGCTCTGCAACTCACGATCAAGATCGCCTATGGTCATGTTCTCCTCTCGGAGCTGGCTAAGCTCATTTTCGAATATCTTCAAGGCATAGATGACCTTAGGGTCGGAGATGGCAACTTCAACCGAAGGGTCATCCATGCAGAATTCAACGGATATCTTCTCGCCAATGTGCGCCATTTTGACTTGTTGGCACAGCAGCTTGTCTGATGGAAGTGCTTCAGGCGAACTCTCGAGGATACGGACACTATCGGCCATGTAGTTTGTCCAGCGCAAGAGGATCGGTCGGCGCAGGACCATGGTGATGCTCATGCAAAGATAATAGCACACAAGGAAGGTTCTCCGGGCTTCGATGCTGCTGGAGTTGGGATGGTACCTCTTGAAGGGACCGACTGAGAGCTTCATGACATTGGGGGTTGCTTTTCTGCCAAGCCCGAGGTCAAGGGCCATGACAGCGGCGCAATTGACCATCATGTAAAAATTGTGTTGTTCGAAATGGAGGGGTGGGCGATACCAAAGCACGGCAATGTGCAGTGCCTGAACAATCTCGAGTGATTTCTCTCCATTTCGCCAGATGATGTCGGCGAGCTGGTCCTTGAGGAGCTTGGTCAACTCTCGTTGAGTCTCTTGCGATACCAGATGCTCAGCACTTCCATGCGAAGACCCTGCCAAGACTGAGAGAAAGAGAAGCGGCTTCTTCTCGCGGACTTCACGAGCCGTGGTGCCTGGGGGAAAGGGCACGGCGGGGAAGTGCGGACAGATGTCGTTCACATAGCGGAAAAAGACACGTTCCGCGGTTTCTGGCGACATGAGCTGATCAATCAGACCATTGATGTGCGAATGGTCGGGGTAAATCTTGCTGTGCCCTGTTCGCCTCATCTCAGGATGTTCTGCCAAGTCGCGATGAATAGCATCCATGTCTTCCGGAATCGTCTAGGTTGTTAGCTATAGCTAAACAAAAGGTAATGCGCCTACTTACAGCGTGGGTTGTCTCAAGCTTCCTCCGCTTCGACTCGGGACCGCGCTGGATGTTCTGCGCCGGGCCATAGCCTGGCGGAATGTCTGGATATCTGTTGGGTACAGAGTTGGACCACTCATGACTGAGGGAACCAAGACGGTAGGCACTGTCGGGTGCCATTGGTATCGCATTTGTACTGGCCTCGTGCTGTGGAATGCCTCCATGATGGCCAACGTCCTGGCCCCCGGCCTTTTGCGCATGTAGAGTCGCAGTCAAGGCATCAATCTTCCGCTCCAGCTCGGCTACGCGACTGTCGGCTTTTTTCTGGCGCTTGCGTGTCGGCGGAGTTGTGATGCACGCCCGGCCTGCTTTGGCGCATCGTCGACACGAGACGTCTGGTCGCTCTTGGTCGCATCGGACTTTTAGTCCACGGCAAGAATCGCAGGCTCTGGGGCGCTTCAGATCGGCAGGCGATTTCCCAGACCCTGGGGTACCATGAGCACTAGAGGGAGTGTTAGTCGGCGCGCGCACGCGTTTATTGTTGGATTGCAATGACGTACCCATCGTGGGTCGCCCTCGTCGTGATCGTCATCATCATGGTCATGGTCATGCTCCGGGCCAGCTGGGGAAGTCTGCTCGAGGGCGGGATCGAGTATATTGGCGAGCGGGGCGGGCTGCGACAGTTGCGGGGTCTGGGATTGATGATGGGGATGCGGATGGGATTGGGCATGGTGTTGAGCAGTGGGTGAAGGCAGGTAGTATGGATGTCCGGTGTTCTGCTGGGATGCAGAGGTGTTGTAGAGCTGGGTACGCGGTGGTACCGTCGACGTGCTCGCAAAGAGTCTGGGGTCTATCTGACTCTGATCTGCCATGGCCGCATTCACTCAACTCTCTGTTCGATGGTCGGCGTCGGTGGTCGGTGGTCGTATAGTACCCGAACTTCCGTGGTGGATTGGGCCGCGGAAGAGGGCTGGAGCTACAGCCTTGGCAGATGCTAACTTCATGTGGGAGTCACGTGTGTAGCTCTATGCAGCTGAACAACCACTGAACGGCCTCGGGAGTGATATAGAAGCTGCTATTTAAAGCAAAATGACCTTAATTTTCATTACATTACAATGTGTAGCTATCTCAAAATGTCTTTCATGCCATGGCCATACACGTATACATGTGCACCTACCCAGAGCTTACAGGTGGGATAATGGCCACTTCATCACCCTCCTCAATCTGCTGCTCTGCATCTTCCTCACCAATATCGACATACTCTAGGTTCACCGTCACGGCGCAGCTGCTCAGAACCTTGTCTCCGATCCCTGGATACCTCTCTTCAAGCATGGTGAAGACATGGCGGGCTCGTACTGGAGCGGGCAAATGTTCGCTTGTCTTGCCGGTAAAGGTAGACGCCGCTGCGAAGTAGAGGATGGAGAAGTGGCCTGCAGGTGCTTTGCCTGGTGCCATGGTGCCTACTGAGACGTATTAGAGACGTGTCCTGGAGCATTGTAGAGCGCGTGGAAGAGTAAAAGTTTTCAATCAGGAAAATTGTGATCCGCAGTCTATCGCCGAAGCGACGGTCGGATAATACATGCTATAATTTTGAATACATCATGGAATGGGCCGGGTCAGAGAGATGGAAAGACTACATACCTTGTGTTGAGTTGTGAGGAAGAAGTGAGCGCGGGCAGTGTGCGGAAGAGCATGTGAGTTCGCGCTGCCATTTAGCGTCTTCGCACGGACCGCTGCCGCAGCGCGACTTCGCAGTTCGCACTTTTTTGTGCAGTGGCGGGCATTCACTGACGTCGTCAGTCAATCTTCGACAAAACATGTATACAAGATTACAGTCGGCTCCCAGCTATGCCTGCTTACGATGCCAATGGCGCCTGTTGAACCAGCGTAGTAGTATTCGTCAGATACACAGCCGTCAAGCGCTCTGCTCGATCAAAGTTTCGCAGCATACATCACGGCGGGCACTACACACCACTACCAACGTAAGTTACAATGTTCCCAAACGACATTCCCAAACTTAATCATGTTAGCGCACGCATATATCATCCATATCCTCCACCTCTGCTCCTCCCCCGCCTTTCGACCCAACACTCCTTCCCCATTCAACGGGTGTACGCTTCCGTGAACACCTGGAGAAGTGGCAAGAACTATACGGCGCACCAACAAAAGAAGCGCTTTCGGGATTTCAGAATCACCCCGCCCGTGGCGACATACAAAACGGTCTGTCCAAGTTGACATCTGCTTTCAAGGCCGACGAAGATGCAAGGCCCGATGAATTAGCAGGCGCAGAGGAAGACGAAGAGGAAGACCCGATTACCATCGGTCTATTTTTGAAGCCGGGTGATGTTGTGGAACTCTGCCAACCTGATCGTGAAGCGGTGCTTGCTGTCTTCGTTCAACAACTTGAAAATGACAGCCAGTTCTTCTCCGTCAATGGCAGGTGGACACACAATGCGCTGTCCAAGGTCTCGTTCGCAATACCAGGGTGCATTGACCCCGAACTTGTGCTGCCGCTGCTTCCGTTCTTACCTACGAACCCGAGCAAGGCCGATCCAAAAGGCCAAGTTCACGTCCCTAGGGAGCTCGCCGCCCCAATCACAGACACTCTTGTGGACATGACCAGGGAGGCCGAGACCATCTACCGTAACAACGCCGCAGAACTGGATACAGCTTATGAGAACCTTGCCGAGAAGAATAAACCAACAATTATGACTTTGACTCAAATCGCCAAGCGCTTGCTCGGGCGTGGCGATTCTGCTTGGGTGCCATCACCGGCTGCACTGCTAGCTGTCCGTAAAGCTTTGAACCGCAATGAGTTTCGCTTCAGATCCGATTCCCGTAGTCATAGACTAACAAACTCTTTCACTATCCGACCCAAGAATGATGTTGAGATTGTGGAAACCGTCCACGGATGGATTCGAGAGTATCGCGAGTATCTCGCCCTGGAAGCGAAGCAGCCCAAAAATGCCCAGTACGCACGTACAAACGGCGTAATTCACATCACAGATTTCCTTGAAAAAGCACGTAAACTCATTGCCTATAGTCGACGGTATCGCGAACCAAATACAGGGGGCGTTGGACCCTGGACTGGACCTTTGATCCATAAAGGAGCACCGTACTTGAGGCCAAAACCAACTGCGGCCTTCACTGAGTCTGATCAGAAGATTATCGATTTTTTGCAAGCTTGGGTACTCACCGATCAGTTCACAGGTATGGCCGGCCTCCATGCTGCTTGTGCTAGTCTGGTGTTGGCATCAGAGTGCTATGGTCCTGGTGTGATTCGCGATGCCGGAACCACCGATGAAGCTCTAAGCAGTATCAAGCCAGCCACCGGTTTTTTATTCCTCCAGGAAATCGGGGTACTCCTGCCGCACCAAAACCGCGCAATCTACAATGAACATTTGATGCTGCCTACCGTTCGTCCTACGCGTAACCTGGAATTGCTAAACGAAAAAGCCGAACTTACACGGCGAAATCCCGATTTCCGGGACTCTATGGTGCATCTTCGCCGTGACTGGGGCTCGACGACCATCTACTGCATCGATGATGCTGATGCTCATGAGATTGATGATGGTATATCCATTGAAAGAGTTCAAGGCGCCGACTCTGAATTTTGGATTCATGTACACGTAGCAAACCCAACGGCGTTTTTTGACAAAACGCATACTCTTTCCGGTCTTGCCGCCCACATGACTGAGACAGTCTATACACCAGAGCGATTCTTCCCAATGCTACCAGAATGGGCCAACGAGGAACACTTTAGTCTCAAGCGCAATCGACCTGTCATCACTTTCAGTTCTCGTATCAACCGTACTGGAAATGTGCTGGAAAGAAAGGTGCAACACGGCATGGTTCAAAACGTCGTCAGTATCACTTATTCTCAAGTGGCTAAGCTGTTGGGTGACGATAGCACTGTTGAAACACGAACACTCGTGGTTGGTGGAACTGTTCCTAATCGCAAGCCGCCGAAGCTCCCAAATCTCTCCCCCGGCCAGCTTAAAGACCTGGACGATCTTTACACTGCAGCAAAAGCCTTGTGGGAGGCACGAAAGGCTGCTGGTGGTGTTAGGTTTAGTCCCGGCAACACCAGCGTTCGCGTTTGGGAAAACCCCGCACAAGAGGGGTTGCCATGGAGATCCCCGTCGGTGCAGCAGGCACGTGTCATTCGTGGAGATCCCATCATTCAGTTGACAAACACCATACCCCAGGGCTTCATGCAGCTTGATCTTAGACCCAAGAACATTGTCGAGGAGATGATGCTTCTTGCTTGTCAGACAGCAGCAACATGGTGTGCTGAGCGGCATATTCCCGTCATGTACAGGGGCACTGTCGAACCTCCCTCCGTTGAGGAATTATCGGCAGGAGAGCTCCAAGAACTAATCCAACTACACTATGAGAAACACGGGAAAGTTCCTCTTGATCTTACCGCTCGATGCCAAAAGGCACTAGGCAGAGCTATTGCACATTTCTCTCCTCTGCCACATAAGATCATGGGTGTTCCAAGTTACGTCAAGGTTACTAGTCCGCTCCGACGCTATAGCGACATGATGGCACATTGGCAGATTGAAGCTGCTCTACGGTACGAGGCAGAATCGGGAATGAAGTTTGATGCAACTGCAGCTTCTGCTACTTCCCGAAACCTTCTCCCGTTCTCACTCCGGCAAATGCGAGAGTCCATTGTCACACTCTCGCCCCGAGAACGCATCATCTCGATGGCAAAGCGGGACTCAGTAAACTACTGGTGTGTCCAAGCCTTACTTCGTGCATTCAAATACAAACAAGCACCTCTGCCTGAAACCTTCCGGTTTTGGGTCCAACGTGTCAGAGACGGGCGAGGAGCTTTAGGTCGACTGCCAGAATATGGTCTCACAGCTTACGTAATGGAGGAAAGTGATGTACAGGCTGGCGACGAATGGGACGTGATGCTGGACAGGATGGACTTGTTCTCCAGGACCATCTTCGTGAAACCGGTACGCCTCACAAGCCGCATCAGAGAATATCCTATCTGATCTGCGCATTTCCTCGGCATCATGGGTTTCCAAACAACACGCCTTAGCCCGTCGCTACGAGACGTTTAGATCTGTATTGAGATATGTCTCGCAAACTTATCAGCCTGCAGCAAGAGTGTTTGAGACGCTGAAGACAGACCAGGACTTGACCTAGTTTGCTGATCACGCTAACACGCGCTCATGCAAGCCACTGATCCATCTACATAGGGTACCATCGAGACAGATCTGAGCATGTCAAGATTTTTTGTCTATTTCGTTCTAGAAACCGTTAAGCCGCACGGCAAGCAATCCGGTTCGTCTAGTGTGCACAATTGTATGGACAGGGCAGAGGACCCAAAAGCTCGGGTAAGGAAGGCATCATGCAATGCTTCCGATGGCTTGGCGATATCTTTGTACAACAGCGCTATAAAATTCGACAAGGGTCTTTTTACGCGCAATGCAGCACAACTGATTCGGCACTCTAAAACTTGGTGAAAGCCTAGCAGCATCCTTGGTGACGCCTCTTTTTGTCTCGCCCAATGATTTTTATTCCTGGTCTGTAGGAGTGAGGCTTCAAACTTGCGCTTACTGATCATGGAAGCCGGTCTACGTCGGAAATGCTAATGCCGCTTCTATATGGTAGATCACGGGCTGTCGCAAGTGCTGGGCTAAGGGGAGCGCAAATCGCACGCACAGATTGTGTGGCATTAATCTGTCTGCATAGCGTTCGCCCAGATCGCTACGAGATCCCATGTCAAAACTAAAGTTTCCTTGTTATCCACTCTACCGTTACCTCTTCCAACTTTCGTTCTAGCTACCAGACTCAGGTTCTATGATGGCAGGAGTGCCAAGCAAACAACCTACCACAAAAGAAGACGCTGCGGGTACGAACATCAGCCAGAGGAAGCAACAGCCACAACAGCAGCGCCAGCTTCTCTCGTGTACTAAATGCCGAGAACGCAAAGTCAAGGTAGGTTACCGCTCATAGATCCTGGTACATATTTCAGGTAGAAGGGATACACATCTCTACCCAGAATGAAGATTTACAACTTAAGTAGCTGATCTGTACTTAGTGTGATCGGACAAAGCCATGTTCAGCATGTTGCGTTCGTGGTTCTCCTCGCGACTGTCACTTCATAGCGGAGGACGGCAACTACACCCCAATTCGACAGAGCTATGAACTCCGCAAACTTCGTGCCGAGAACTTGCGACTCAAAGAGAGATTACATTCCTTGAGAATCCCCGTCGATAGCGAAGATGCCGCGCATGCGCAAGCTGTAGATTCGCAATTTGGCGAAAAGCCTCCTTCATGGCATAAGCGGAAGCAACAAAGTTTTCAAGCCTCCGAATCATGTGATAACATTTACTTTGGCTCGCCTGGGTTGGCCACTGTGATCAATGAAGTAGGCAAACCGAATAGTGTCCAGGGCTCAGGCTGACTGAAATCCAGTTTGCGTCCACCAACACAAGTATATCGACGACATTGGCACACGTTATGCCCCAACCTGCAGATATGTTTGCTACGGGAAACTCCTCAACCTATCCTTTTGCGACTATCTTCAGTGCATCACTTGAAGACTGCATACCTCAACTTCTGGGTTGCCTGCCTGCAAAAGACGATATGCTGCGGTATTTGAGTGCTTTCGAAAAACAAGTTTGTACTCAAATACCTGTAGAGATTACTAAAACCGAGGTGGAACGTTTCTTGTCTCGCGCAAAAGAAAATTCCCAGCAATGTCCGGCTATGTTGGGCTTACTGTTGGCGGTCATCGCATTGGGTGCTCAGCACTCGGTCTGGGGCAGGAACAGTGAGAGCTGGGATGCCGATGTAATGAGAGCGGAGACCAGGGCGGGCAATGTCTACAGTAGGTGAGGAGAACACCAGAAGATCAAACCTGACTTGCATCTAGTTGCTGCTGCAATGCAAGCTTTACGATTGGCTTCCTTCATGCACAAGCCGTCTCTGTTGGCTATACAAGTGCTGGTCATGATCGGAAAGTACCTCATCAACAGTGGAAAATACCTGGATGCCTTCACGCTGTTTGGAACGACCATTAGGCTGGCCCACTCTATTGGCCTTCATTGCCACCCCAAATATCTCGACCCTTCACCCTCAACGGCCAGGGACATCACAACAAGGCAAAGAATTTGGTGGTATATGCTACGTGTTGATGAAGAGTTCTCCGTGACGCTGGGACGACCCTTAGGCATAAGTGGAATTGGAACTTGCTGCTGGCCTCAGGAACTCACAACCGACCCAAACATAGTGCGCTTTGGTGAATATATCAATCACTTTACGCTCTTGGCAAGGCAGATACTCAGCAGCGATCGGCTGACAAACCCCCGAATCGATGAGTTCACAGATGCACTCCGGGCACTATCAGAAACACTACCTGAGACACTACGATTCGACAATTTATGGGCCAACTCGGATATTGACCTGCCCCTCGGATCTTGGCCATTGAGTGCCATGGCTGTTGGTATGTTGTGAACCCTGTTATCGTTACTTTGGTCCAATCTCCAAGGAGTTCGTCGCGTATTCCGCCAATACGATCACCACATGGATGCAAAGTCAAATCTATCCTGCTTCAATCATATACAGGACAAAGTAATTACCCTACAGTTTTGCTCACACGTCCCAGTCTACTATTGTAAGATGAATACCTATCTCATCCTACTGAACCGCCAAAGAGTCGAGAAACACACACGTTCTTCTGCTACTTTCGAAAACATAGGCACGATTTCGGCCTTTACAGCTCTGAACCATACCCCTCTGGTTTATCCGTCACCATCAAGGTCAAGACAAGCATCGCTCCGGGGCCGCTCTTTAGTGATCGCTTCATCCGAAGACATTATTTTTGCCTTTTTATTCTTCCACAAAAGGCAACCATTAACACTGGTTGATTGGACCATAGGACAGCAAGCTTTCAATAGCTGCATGATCCTCTTACTCGATGCAATAGAACGCCGGACTATCACATTTGGCTCTTCAAAAGCGGAAGAAGCCTTGCATGTTTTCAGGATACTCAAAGATAACAATGTGCACAAGTTTGCTGGATGTGCGGTTGACAGAATCGAGAAAGGCTTAAAAGAACTACACGACACCGTCACAAAAACCAACAATGACGACCATCATGCAAAATTTCAGCAAGGGAACAACATCATATTCTCGGGAGCCGCACAAAATAAGGCAGAGTCAGGCTCGGGTGGTGTGGAGACAGTGATGGGTCGCACTGGGATGCTACTGATCGAAGGCGCGGGTTTGCAAGCCTTCGTAAAAGAAGAGTTTTCTCCTACTATCTGGGGTCCGCCTTGTCTTGCGAGAGATTCCAAGGGCGAACTTTATACGTCATCATACCACAGCGAAGCCATACAGACATCGGAGTTGAAGGCGGAGACCATACTTGTCAACGAGCGAGCCGGCTCGCTCAGCTCGCTCGGCTTGGACGTTTTGACCAAGCCGAATGAGCTGAGCGCGCAGTGCGCGCTTGCAAGCCGAGCGAGCTTAGGGATAGGCGCTCGCTCAGTCAGCTTGCTTAGCTTGGTTGGATGGGGCGGTTGGAAACTTGGGGCTGAAGGACTTGGTGGAGGGGCAATCTCACGATGATTTTTAGGTGTAGTGCGTAAGTTCGAAACCTAGTTATAACCTAAAATACACTCTTTTTTGCTATATTTCTAGCAAATAAGCTACTAAATTTCCGGCTAACGGCCTGGCAACAATATTCTCCTTCTGCGACACTTCACTTACTACTTATCACCCACCACACTCACCTATACTCCATCAACGCGTCTCTATTTGCAGCTATTATCTACCTCGCCGTTGCTATAATGCCAGCAAAAAGAACACGCGTTAATGCTCTAGAAATCGCGACAACTTCGAAGCGCCCTAGAGTCGCAGCGCGTCATCGCGGGACTGCCAGCCAACCTGTGCTAGTCGATACTCGGCCATTCTCACCATCTCCACCTCCTCCACCGCTGTCGCCGCGTCAAGCTCTCGTCGCCGCGCCACAAGCACCAAATTTTGAAGCGACCCTCCGAGAGTCGCGCGCCGAAGAGACAATCATCCCACCACCTGAGGGCAGCGAGCATGCCACTGTTGCAGCTTCAGGAGCAGCTAGCGAGGCTGTCGACGAGGGTTTCGTATGGGTAGAGGACAAATACGACGGCTTTAATTGGAGTCGCTACCCAAAGCACTGCAAGCCGCCCACATCACTTTCGAACCGAGCAAGCTGGGTATACAGCCATGGCTATCGCATCGCCTTGCGCAGCAACGTCGCAAAAGTCACGTGGATCTGCCACTATTGCTATAAGCACAAGTTCACTACTGTTGGCCGTGGCATACATGACGTCTCGCAGTCTCCATCAGCGCCAGCACGTCATCTCGGAGAAGACAAGAAAGGTCATGGCTTGAAGCCTCCAAGTAAGCGCACTACCGTCGCTCCTCGGAAAGAAACTCTCCTCGAACGCGCCCTTCAGAAGGGCTGCTCTCAGGCTGTTGCCAACGAGCTTACCAACTTCAATATACAAGAGTTTAGGCTTGCGGCCGTTACCTGGCTCGTCGAAAACAACCTCCCACTCTTACAATTCGAATCATCGTCTTTTCGCAATATGATACAATTAGCTAGCGTAGAGGCAGAACGAGCCCTGTGGGCATCTCATAACAGCGTCTCACGATACGTTATACGCCTGTACAACTACCTGTTACCAAAGGTTGTCGCAAGCCTTTCAGAATCAATGAGCAAAGTCCATATAAGCTTTGACGGATGGACGACAAAGGTGGCAAGCGCGGTTACTTAGGTATCGTCGCCCACTACGTTTGATAGCTCTGGCGAGCTCAGGGACTTGCCTATTGCGCTCCCACAACTGACAGGTGCCCACACCGCAGAGTTGCCAACAAGCAAGTAAGTGGGGCTCAGAAGGTCTAACTTGACTTGCTTGATTACCTATTGTAGCCTAGTAGTTACTTTGTTAGGTATAACTCCTACTCCTAACAGTTAGCGTCCAGTTTTGACGAGCAACTTGACTTGCTTGTTGGTAACTCTGCCACACCGGCGAGGCCATGGCTGAGGTCGTGATGGCAATATTCAAGCAGTTCGAAATCACTGTGGGCAAGCTCGGTTACTTCGTCCTCGACAACGCACATAACAACAACACCACGATCAACACTCTCGCCTTGCAGATGGGCTTCAGCGCTACCGAGCGTCGCCTTCGCTGCGGTCCTCATACGCTTAATCTCATTGGCCAGATGCTACTCTGGGGTGAGGAGAAAGAGTCCTACGACAACGAGGAGACTGAGCGCGTGAACGAAGCTGAGAACATGGCTACTTGGCGAGGCGATGGACCATTAGGAGTGCTTCTCGCGGTTATCAACTACATCAAAACACCACAACAGTACGCTCTTTTTGAGAAGTATCAGAAGCTCGCTATTAGGGACCAGCCTGTCAACGCGCCAACAGAACAGCACAAAATCAAGGAGCCCGTCAAGCCAGTTGTTACTCGCTGGAACTCTTACGTTTCGTGTTTTGAGCGCGCTGTTGAGTTGCAATTAGCGGTTAATGGGTACGCCAACTACCATATTCAGAAGATTGAAACTGAAGACGCGTACGCCCGAAGTCGTAACAACAAGCTGCCTGCAGCGCCGGATTGGATGAGGTCTGATGGGATCAATGCCCATGACTGGCAGGTGATTGCTGAGTATATTGATGTGCTCAGGCCACTGAAACAAGCTACAAAACGGCTTGAAGGCCGCGGCAAAAGCGGTGCTTTTGGAGCAATCGCTGAGGTTATTCCAGTATTTGAATACTTACTTGGAGTCTATGAGGACCGCTTGCAAAGCTATGAAGACGTCATTCACGATGAGCATACAGAGTCACCCGAAGACCACCTTGCTATCAACCTCCGCGCTGCCCTAGTTAAAGCCCGCGAGTACTACAACAAGCTCGACCTCTCGCCAGCTTACTATGCTGCTACAATCCTTCATCCTCGCTACAAAAGCTACCTTGACGCAGCGTGGGCGGATAAGCCTGATTGGCTAGAGAGCAGCAACCGCAAGTTTCAACATTTGTGGGCGGAGTACAAAAGCTTACCGAAGCCGCGCTTACGCCCCAAAGTCAGGCACAATGATATAGACGACGCTATCAACAGCTTTATTGAGCCTGCAGGGCTTACGGAGAACGAGGAGGATGAATATGAGGCTTGGAAACGCAGCGAACCGATCGCTAGCGAGGGCGTCGACCCTATAAAATACTGGGTAGGACTCCGCGATCGCTACCCCAGCCTTAGCAAATTTGCTATCGACATGCTATCAATCCCAGGCTCAAGCTGTGAGTGTGAGCGCTTATTCAGCGAGCTGGGTGACCTCCTCGAGCCCCGTCGGCGCAGCATTTCTCCGCAACTTCTAGCAGCAATACAGTGCGATCGACGATGGATAAGAGCTGGATTTGGCAGTGGTGAGGTGCCTGTAAAGGAGGCTATCAGCGATGAGGAGATGGACGCGAAATACGGTGTACATAAGTGGGATATTAGCTGAGAAACTCAACACCAAGGTTTCTATATAACTTTCCTAATCGGGACTGAGCCCATCAAGCCGAGCGAGCTGACAGCCCTGTTTCAGCCAATCCGAGCGAGCCGAGCGAGCTGCTGGCCTCCGCTCAATTGGCTGAGCAAGCCAATTGGCTGAGCTCGCTCAGCTTGCTCATTGACATCTGTGGCGGAGACATCCAACGAACACTCTCAGTCTCTCCAATCTCTACAGATTGATGAGGACTCGAATTTTCGCAACCCGAAGATGACCCTGCGATGCGATTCAGAACGATTGGTGCATCCACATGGTTACACGGCGTCAACATCGTCTACCGACAGACTGGAACCCCACGAGAAATATGAAACTATGACAAGCGAACACCATGGGTGGCAAACTAGCCGAGGTCAGGGAGGAGCTGAACCGCTTCATTTGCACAGCCAGTCAAATGAGACGGATGGACGGGGCTATAGTGGTTGGCAGTACTACGGGTCCCCGAACGCATGTAGTGGGAAGGAGCACCATATGGACCTACTCCGCACCTCTATTGACGCACAGCAAAACGGACAAGCAGCTCAGAGACACAATTCTTGTCCTGCACTTCCGCAGCCAGTCGCATGTCCCCCCCACTTACGCCCAACGCAATCTTCTCCCAACAGTGCTCAGGCAGGTCCAGAGCCCCAGCTGGTGTCTCCGTACTTCTACTCCCAGGCTCATCCACAACAGACCCAGCTACAACAAAGCCAATATATGGAACATAGCTTTTCCAAGACAGACTCACTCTTTCGGCACGCAATAAGTACACCAGTGTCAAGCATCGCAGAGGTATCAAGGGACACTTCAACAGTTTGTGGAAGTCCCCGGTGGCAGCAGGAACAGACTCTTTATCCCGTCTTCACCCAGCTATATGATATAGGTATTCCATCCGCGTCGAATGTGGCCATGAACATGGAGGAGTGGCAGCATGAGTGGTAAAGGTGAAGTAGATATGATCACAGGTTGATGAAGACGGAACAGTGGACTCTCTCAAACCAATATCTCGGTACTGTCAAAATACAAAACCAGTCATAGGACTCTTATCCTAGTTTTGATTGAAACGATATCTGCAGTCGCTCGCACCTGCTTCTCGGTACAAGCTAATGTCGTCATGTCTTAGTCAGCAACAAAACGGTCAGCCCCTACAGCAGCACCGCTTTTCTGACAGCTCCCTCGCTCTTCTCCATCTGTGCGCCACGATCTATCGTCGATCTCAACGCCTTTCACAGGTAAGGCATAAGTTCAATTGCCTCCGCCCGCTATATTACATCATGCCACCCGCCACCTTGGTTTCGGTGGCGGCTGCCAATACATGTTCCGCCGGGTACTACAGCCTTGTCTCTGTCTTCACTTGATCGGACTGTATCGGGGATCAGCCGCCCTGTTTTCAAGGCGGAGAAACGAAATCAAGTTCTGATGATTATACCCGGTCGTTTCGGCACCTTCTCACAGTGAGGGACGCGGTAAGCTATCTTTTAGATCCGTCTCTCTTAACACCCACTTCATGTACCCGACGCTTCATGTGCCTGCATAAACTCAGAGAATTGCGCGTCCCGAAAATCTGGGTGACAAGCGGCCGGAGGCGAAGTCTAGACTCAAACACCACAAGGGGAAGCAGGTCATACGGGTAACTGCGTGGCACGTCGTACAAGACCAAGCACATCATCAAGGAAGCTGCAATGAACTCTGCACTTTGCATTGTGGCACTGCAGTTACACTAAAACTTTATAGTCTTCGGAGGCGCTGCGAGGCGTCATATACTCCAGTCGTCATTGTTGGTATCATCAGTGGGTGCCTGCATGGGTCTGTACATCTAGTGGGTGGCGTTTGCGACGAGGTTGACTTAACGTACCGCCTACGCTTTGAGCCTCACTTTCAAGGTTCTTCGGTGCGGCATCCGGCATGAGAGATTGACCTTATGGTTTATGATGATCAAATCTGCAGTTTTCGCGACCACCGTTTTGCTGCAGCCAATACTTTGTTCTCACTACATGATCGCAGCACCATGCATAGGCGGAGAACGGCTGAATCGTATCCACCTAGACCAAAGCACTCTCGGGGATCTTACTGCCTCAACAATGGATAGGCATTTTCGAAACAAGTACTCCGCCGAATGCTTTTGTCCGCGTCTCCGCACAACCTGGGGTAACCCACTATAACTCGGAGATGCGAAGTGAAACCCCACAGAGTCACGGAGAAAGACGCTTCCAAACTCCGATTGCATAATCGTAAACCAAACTGTAAAACATGTGTCACACTCGTTTTCTCCCAGCCATTGATTCTGGTGCTCATAACACCCGTCAAAGGTGTCAGCTTACTCCGGTTTATATCCACCCATCGCTCAGAACTAGTTTACCGACTGCGCAGTTTCCAGATGCCGCCCCCATATCTCCTCCTTTCATAGACGGCAGAACCAGTATACCGGGAGCACTAGAGTTACATGACTCGGCGCGCATATACCAGTAAAGCAATTACCAGAAAGCATTATGATAATGATTACTGCATATTTGTATGCAGCTAACGAGTAACGTCGCGGTCTACGCACCCCCTGATCTATCATTTACGACATGGGGTAAGCGAACCACTATAGCTTCTTAATGGCTGGAACGTAGGTTGGCGAGCTCAACTGCAGGTCTCAGGAAATGCGATACTAGATTGATCGGGAGCGTTTGCATAAACGCGGTTTGCCAATACACTGCTTTAGGTACGCTCTAATCACTCTCAGCAACTCCTAGCTAAATAATATTCACTAGTAGCCCAATGCAAGAACAATTTTGTTCACTAATCCAAACATTCCCTTGCATCGATGGGAAACCCACCACCTATCGCATCCATGTCTCGGGAATACCGCAGTTTTTGTTTCCACGGCCGCCATCTCCCAAAACCATGGCCCGGGATGAGACATGCACGTGGAATTTAACTGGACTACTTACATTCTTATCTGATGTTCCGATCCCAAATACCCGCACTCGGCTCGGATAGAAGGGTGTGGATGTTGAAACATGGATTCCGGCCTGTATGGCTCGGATGCATAATGGGAAGCTTCGTAACGGACTCTCGGGCCATGCATAGTAATCGACATGGTAAGTGATCATCACAAAGATTGGAAAAGTGAGTTGCAGTCGTATGATATATTACAATCAATGACTTGCAGAGTCGATCAATTGACATCCAGTCCGAGGAACCTGTTCCAAACTCTCTGTCATCGCTTCTGTGAGTTTCAGATATATCTTTGAAGAATGGGGAAAATAAGATAGCTCAAGAGCAAGGAATAAAGCTTACTTCAACTGAAGCCGAATGTAGAATGATACCAGAACATGTGAAGAGAAGTGGTGATCGTAGTTTCAGCGAAAGCTATCTAATGTCCGTGATACCTAGGCAGCAATGCTGATATGATGGTGATGATGATGCCACTACCAATGCTGACATTGATGATAATAGTGATAGTGAAGGACCTGGGGTATATGCCAAGATAGCAGTTCAAGCCAAAAGAGAGAAAAAACGCCCTCCCCGAATCACCCAGTCTACGCATCCCGACGATAAAGCAAAAGTTTGCAATGGCGCCCAATCGCGAAAACCAAACTTGTTGAAAGACCTCCGCTCGCTTGGTCGCGCCTACGGTTAAAAAAAAATAGGCGAACCCGGACAATGCTGGGAAAGAGACGACCAAAGCCCATTTTGTCCCAGATACACATCAAATTACTCCTGCAGTTGATGCGTCGGACAAGCGCCTCTTCCCTTTTTATCCCACCACTCTTTGATACACGACTGTGAGTCGCGTTAGCGGAACGTTCACCAATGTTGAAGTGATAAGTGAATATGTACATACCTCATGAAACTTGCACCAGCAAACCAGCCTGGCCATCTTATCGCCTGCTTCAAAGTCTTCTAGACAAATTGTACATTCGGCCTGTCTGCCTTCGTCGTCGATGCAATCTTTCTCTGTAGCTACATAAGGAAACATGCCGCGTGCGGCATGGCTCATGCGACTCTGATTGCTTGCTCCCTCGCCGTTGCCAGCACTGCTCATACCACGGGTGCGCTGGTTGGGTAGACTTGCTGAGGTGACTTGTGCGAGGGCTGCAGTTGGGCCGGGGGAGGCTGAGTGAAGAGCAATGCACTCTTGGATGTGTTGGGTGCGCTCTGTGTCGTCATTGTTGGGGCCCTTGGGTGGAAGTTCTTCGCCGCAGATGGGGCATTCGTCTTCTTCGGCAACCTGACGTCGAGGCCGAGGTGGTTGTGCCCGTTGAGGCTGGAGTGGAGGTGGGACAGGGGTATATGGGGATTGTCCAAACGTGCTAGAACCTGTGAATGATCCGTAGCCATAATTTGATCGGCTTTGAGTATTACGGGGCCGGTTACTGGCTATTGTTTGTGAGATCAGTGGGGCGCGGTGATGCGGATATTGCTGTTGAGCTGCGGAAGGTGGCAGCGGTGGCAGACGCCTTTCACCAATATTAGAGTTGCCATGGTAGCTTGCTCTCCTGCTCTGATCATTCGAAGGATCACGTCCACCATGTATTTGCGCCTGACCCGCGAATTGAGATGTTCCTTGTACACTCGAAGCTGACCTATGTGCTCGGGGGTGCGGTGGTGGTTGCGGACGGGAAATGTATGGCGAGCGCGCCGTAGGCGGGAATTGGCCTGGATAACGAGATGCGCGAGCGGGTGTGTCGTATTGTGGTGGTGGACTAAAGTTTGGGTCTGGTACACATGGGTTGCAAACGCGGACTTCCTCGCCTCCACCTAGCGCGGGATTGCGGAACGGGCCGAAGTTTGACATGGCATTCTCATCATCACTCGTCAGATCGATATAGTTGGTGATGCTCTCGGACGGTGGGTGAACGATAAATTGCCTGGGTATAGTAATGCGATGGGGGGAGCACGAAGCGCACACGACTCTTCCACATTTCCTGTTCTCGTTGATTAGCAAACAGTTCGCACAGGGTATGGCATGTGAAGATGCGTCTACACACCTGCAATGATGCCTTCTAAGTAAGAATGTAAAGGGTTTCTTGCACACCGGACACTGGGTGACCTCACTGTCCGGTTGCCATGGCGGCAGTACAATATCACTCTGCCTTCTCGGAGCCGCAATATTCGCCTGTGTTGGGATGGATGGCGTTGGTGGTAGGGCTCGAACAGCCGGCGGCGAGTCGAGAAGTATAGGATTCGCGATTGTGGCTCCCGTGTTTTCTGAATGCATCCTTATGCTCGATGGTCGTCTCATGGGAGAGTCGGCCGTTGTCAAACGTCGTTTGCGGTCAGAGCTGCTCGGGGGTGACGAATCGGCATGCGGTGGGGGACGTGTTGGAAGGGTATATCGCGAAGAAGAGGGGTTTGCGCGATCTTCAGAGGCGGTAGTGGGGGTCGATATGCTGGATGTGGGTGGCTGGTTGGTACTGATATCGGTACCCTCCCTTAGAAAGTCCATCCACGTTTCGCGGTCCTGAGCCAAAAAATGTGAGGCAACGACACCCTGTGAATGGTGTCTGGAGTTGCTCCCGATCCTGGCCTCGCGGGCCCGTTCTGTGTTGCTAATCGATACGTCATGCTGGCTCCCGTAGGCATGGGAGTTGTGCATATACGGCCCGCTCGGGCGTGGATTGGCATTCGGAGTCATTTCGACGGATCTGTGCCTGGCTGGCGCACTCGGTGATGCAAATCAATCCTTAACAGGGCCTCCACGCGACAATATAATAGGTGAATGAGGCACAGCCAGCGTGATGGCGAGGGCGAGGGGTCGTTCTTCGTAGAGAAGGTCGGCCGGCTCACGGCAACATGCCGCCACTGGCACGTTCTTGTACGTCGCGTACAAGCTTTAGTAATACAACAGAGTGTATAACGCTGCCCATTCAATCAGTCCCGTATCAGACATCTGGCCTTGTCACGTTCACTTACCTATCAGTAGCGCTGCGTTGCGGTGTAAAGGCCGGAGGTGGGTGGGTCTCGCGCGTCGGCTCGGGCGAGGGGACTTTCCAACCACTTTCCTGCACAGCTCGTGAAAATGGGCTGTTGAATATAGCACAGAAGCAAAACACTAGCTGCAGTCACGCATTCGAAAAAGGTCAGACAATATGCGCAGGCTACACTCCAGATTCCAGAAAGAAGAGAGAGCGTCAGCTTCGACGGTACATGGATGGTTTGAATGCCTCAGGCGTCACTTATCGTCGCTATCTTAGCCGTTTCACGCGACCAACTGCGCCACGACTTAGCCTCTTACGGAAACACCCATGGGCGGACCGATGTCCCCATTCCACCAAATCTTCTCAGCCCCTCACATCTTAGTCAACTATGGCACGAGACAGGTTCACATGTCCTGTATAGTTTGAGTTCGCTTCAGATTACTATTTTACGTTGCCAGCAGCGCCAGCCTCCTCATCCTGCTATATATATATATGAAAAACTGAATGTCCGTGTCTACCTAGGTCGCAAGAGCACGCCGCTCATATCACCTACCAAACGCCGCGAGTTCGCTTTTGAACAAATGTACAGTAAGAGACTCGTAAATGCACCTTTAGCGCCAAAATCAAAACTACAAAGGAAACATGTGACTGTGCAGGTCGTGTGCCGACCAAAAGATTACAGGCGGCAGCCTTCATCTACGGTGACTGCGTCCACTATGTTGTGTGCTTCCACTACGGCTGCGATCCACAATCTCTGCAGAAGCTTCGAGGTGACTTCCAGCGTCGTAGCCGTCACTTTGAACACTATCCTTGGTCACATGATGTTGGACGAAGCCAGTACTGAGTGGCCGCTCGGCCGTTGCGCCAATCCTCGGCGGTGCATTGAGCTCACTCATACCGTCATTACGATATGTACTTGATGCTGACGAGTGCGCAGGAGAACGTTCGGGTGACGGCTCGGTAGATCCGAATGGAAGGCGGATAGGCAGCCCTCCAGGTCCAGATGGTTGCAAGTGTTGACTTTGACTTTGACGCGATGACCGATACGGATTTGTTGTTAGTGTAGAGCCATCTATGACAGTTGATAGTCGTTCTGGGAGCATTGCAGCTTCAGTTGAATTGGTACGTCGAGAGTTCTTGCGCGGCAGTGAAGGTGCTCGACTTGGACCATCTGGGGCGTGAGTAGCTCGGGAAGCGCGCGACCCAATTCTACTGGGAAGCTCGATTCCACCAAAACTTTCGATGGGCCCCAAGGCCGGTGCAGTAGGAGACACACGGTGAGCCGGGTCGTAAAGGTCTTCGTCGTCGCTACTACTACTCGGCTCACTATCAGACGAGTGCCGCCTCTCACCAGCTAAGACAGCGGCCGATGCCACACCCGAGCCCCCTGATATCTTTCTAGTCTGAGGCGGTGAGTCGGGACTATCGCGGTAGGGCTCCGATGCAGGTTCTGGCGTTTCTCTGTCCTCTTCCACAGCCACCATCTGTGGTGGCATGCGCGTACTCCTGACCACTTCGAAACCTTTGCTCTTCTCCTTCTTTCTTCCGCCCATGAGGTTCAGACTCCTGAACCAACCAGTAGCAGATGAGACAGGGCTCATGGGATCAGCAGGTCCGGTCTTGAGCTTTCGCGTAGGTTGAGAAGATAACGCAGGGCCGCGGAGTCCATAGTAGAAATCCGACTCTCGCACCGAGTAATCCGTGTTGATATTCTTCCTATCTAGGTTCGAGTCGGAATCGTCGCGATTTACTCTTAGATAGGCTGGAGCCGGAGTGCTAGAGTTCCGTGAGGGGCCTTCACCGGCAAGCATGGCTGGAGGATCCAAATGGTCAGAGTAGGGAGCATCGGCAATGTCAGCACTTCCGACAGGGGCTTTGCCTGGAGCACCAGAACCCATTGAGTCCGTGGTATACTTGCGAGGACGTGGCGGACGGTAATAAGGATCCACAGCATCCATGGCGCCCATTGTCGGCCTTCGGGAGCTATGGCCCGACGAACCACCAAGGAAATTGAATGGCACGGCTCCAGGAGCTGGACTGACATTAGCGTAATCACCCTGGCTGAACCCTTCGAATCCAACACTTGCACGCTGGCTATCTCGGTCGTAGGGCCCATTCAAAAGGACAGCCGAGCTAGCAGAAAGGCTCCGGGATCGGCTATCCATGAGTTGAATGCTCTTGTGTTCATCATGGGCGAGCATCGCAGCATTGGAATTGAGGCTGCTCCTAGCGTGACGATGAACGTTCCGTTTGGACAGTTGCCTTTTTCCGAAAACAGTGGTAAGACCACCTCTTTGATCACCACCAGCACCGCTGAGCCTCGCGGAGACTTCGATGATGGTCTGGAGAGCGTTCAGGAAGAAGCCAAACACCAAGACGACAGCGTGAAGAAGTAGAATGATGTATCCAATCCAACCTTTGGGTGCCTCGCCGACGTCGAGAGTGGGTACGAAGGCGACCGAAAGCAGGATACAAGTAAGTCGTATAGTCGCGAAGAAGGTATGATAAGCGTTCATCGAAGTGTTGGACTGGAATGGGCGGAACGCGTGTAAAGTCAAGATTAGGATTACTTCGCATATAGCAAGTATGATAATTTGGGCGATGCCAGAAGGCTGGATGGCGCCGATAGCGATGCCACGCATGATGGTTAGCAAAACAGGAATAAAAGCAAAGGGTGCAGCATCGTCAGAGTATGTGTTGTAAAGTGGGCCGTACATCAAGACGGTCGGTAGGTCGTCAAACAGGTGGGCTCGGGGGCGGGTGGTGAAGATGAACCAGAAAATCCAGGAAGCCACTACGGCGAAGAGAATCAGCATGATGACGGCTGTAGCCACGACGGATGCTGACGAGCGTGGAGCTACGACGAGCTGGAACAAGGACAAGGCTATTATGGGAAGCATAAAGTAGTTGTAGATGACACGGATAATGTTGCCAGCCGTGAATGCCCAGTTCTTCCCCGTCAAGTCGCCGTCCTGCGTGTTAGTCAGCCAGCGCGAGAGCCAGCGCATAATGAAACCGAGCTGTGTGAGGCAGACCACGCAGGCGATGAGCACAAGCAGGAAAATGGCCATGCATGCCCAAATGTCGCGCTCCTCTGTAAATCCAACATATTGGCCGAGACGGGTAAGACCGTAGGTGCCATTGACAAAGTAGATGCCATCGACGAGACTTTGGGATCCATTACCCTCGCTGACGAAGCTCTGATTGAACAGGAGGATTGACCAGCTGGCCTGGCTCACCACTGGCTGGTAGAAGCCAGGGTAATTGAGGCTCAGACTGCCAGACAGGACAATGAATTGTATGTACTGCAGGCAGTCTCCAAATCCGGGCGTGACCAAGCGCAACAAGTCCTCGTCTCGGCCATAATTGCTCGTCCAGCGGAAAATGTTCGAGGTTCCCCATGGGCAGCATATAGCTGCAAATACTGTTGCAATCGCCACGAGCGCAAGCACGGCAGCAGGGAGGTAGCGGATCGCATTCGAGATTGTGTCTCCGAGGTCTGGTGTGATATTGGTAGAGACACAACCGAGAGCCTGTGCATTCTCGTTGCCAGAGACGATGCGTAGTGTCGAGGCCCAGGTAGAAAAGGCATATGAAGTGTCGAACGTGTGTGCTACGCTGACTGCTGGCATGGTCCAGTATTCGCTCGCATTTCCCCCAAAGGCAGGCGCCACCGGGCAGCTTGTGTTGAGGACATTTTGGCAAAACTGGCTCGGGGGAGCGTTCCAGGCGGTGTAGGATAGCACGGCATTGTTCCAAAACAGGGTGGTATACTTGTTATGGTTCTTGTCCAGATCGACAATCTTGCCGAACGTCTTGTTGGGGTCCTTCCAATTGTCATCATCAAGGGGCGGGTAGTCGCCTAGCTGCGCCTGTCCGGTGACATTTCCATAGACGGTGACGTTCAATCGGTGGTCCGGGCTAAATTCAGCCCACACGTATTTCGGAGTGAAGCGGAGGTAGGGCGTCTGCTTTCCGTCGGCGAGGTAGACGCGCGTAAGGCAGTCATGGAAGTTTACAAAGACGGCGCTGGCGAGCGGCAGGAGTGAGGCGACGGCGAGGAGAAGGACGAGGGGCGAGAAGGGAATCACGGCGGGTAGGGTCCATGGTTTCCTGCGCGATCGCGGCGGTGTCTGTGTGGGCTGGACGGGGGGGATCTCGAGCTGGCCGGTGTTGGGTAAGCCTGGGGCGCCATTGCGCAGTGTGGTGACGGCCATCATGACGTCCGCGTCCTCATGTTCGCCCTCCAACTCGCTGTCCAATGCAGTCTTGACTTGTGCGTGGTGTGGCGCCAATTGGGTCACTCGTTCGTAGGCCGGTGGTATGCGCCGGGTCGATGGCGGATGGGCGTGGGCGGGGAGGCGGCAAACGTCAAACAGGAAACGGATGGTTTGGGTGAAGGACACGATGTCTAGGAGACGGCAAGCGGTTTGTTCGTAGCGAGGGCGCAGCTGAGCAGCGTAGCACAGCGGGCGAGGATAAGCCTGTTGCGCGTGAAACAGGCGTCAGAGGGAAACCACGACGATGAGCTGGCAGGGGCGAATGGCGGGCCCGGCTCGATCAGCAGCGGCCGTGCATGAAGTAGGGAATTGAAATAATAAAAGTGGATTAATAGCGAATGTAAGAAATGAAGCAGGTCAAGTCGGAGAGGGTTGAGTGACCCGGACAGCTGGTACTAAAACTCCTGAGGCGAATGTTTAGCGGTGGCAGTGGGGTGTGCGGACAAGACCCCAAGGCAGAAGAATACGCTAGCCTCGTATACGGGTGCACGACGCCCTCCTTTGCTGCTGACTCGAAGCCTTGTTTGTTGGCTGCGGAGGCGGGAGAGTGAGAGTGCGCCGGGAGTGACTTGGTTCAAGTTGGTTGCGAAGATGAAAGGCTGTCAAACGCAGCTGGCGAGCAAGGCGAGCAATGCGGCATCCTCGTCTTACAAGGTGCACTATGACCCAGCATCTGGCACAAAACGTCATGGCCATGCGGCTAGAGACAGCTGGGTGAAGGGAAAGAGGAAGGCCTTGTACACTTGCCGACGCGCCCCAAACGGTGTGGGTGCGCACATTAACTTATTGGGCGCCCTGCTCGTATCTTCAACACCAGTAACCAATGTCAAAATACGGGGGCGCAATGCCATGCGACTGCCAGCCGCTTCATCGAGGGTACCTATACCCGCGACGATGATTGCTGGTGTCGAAACGGCCAGGTGCAACACTGCAACGACTAACTGCAGATCAACCACCTCAGCCTGCCCGGCTCCCGGTTGACGTGATGGCCTTGCCTGGCCAGTGGCGCAGCGGGCGGCCTAAATTTAGCCTACTAGACGGCCATCACTTGTTTCATCGTCGCGTGCGCATGCATTTGGCTGCATGCATTTCAACCTCATCAGCAATTCACTATTCGCAGTCTGATCTCTGGCCATTGCTCCGTCATGACCACGTTGCGTTGGGATTACCCATGTATGTCTTGGAATGTTGGAATCCCGTACGTACTTGTGTAATCTCGTCTTACTTAACTACATGTGACAAGTCCGATTAGTCACCCATCCACGCTCTCTGAGTTTGGCACGCTAAAGACGGTGTTCCGTCCCGTCTTTGCTACCAACAAAACAAACGGCCATGATGCCGCTATAATCTATTGTATACTGATACCGCGTCTGAGAGCGCCATGCCTTGTTCCGTAGCTGTAGCCTTGGCAATCCCTCCCGCCCCGGCTACCCGTATCTCCAGTCAAAGTCAAGCCCCATCTGGAAGGTCGCCATGCCCGCAAATGCGCGGCGCGGAGGAGTCCACTCGTATCTGCCATACCATCGTCCAGAATGAACAAGTCCAACGTTTGCCCAGAATTCGGCTCCACACAAGTTTGGTCAAGACCCAAAAAGCTTTCTTGGCACTAGCCAATGGGGCAGGTGCCAGTCTCTTGGCATCGATTATCATGAAAACAATCCGCTGCTCTGCCCACAATCGGCGCCCATATAACAGCCCATTGCCGCTGATATGCTGTTGCGAGAGTCGAATCGGTACTTCCAACATCTCCTCTCAAGAAACAAGAGAAGATGGCAATGAAGACAGCCTTCTTGGCCGCCGGCCTTTGGCTGGGGTCCGCTCATGCTATCACTGTCGAGGGCATGCTTGCCGCGCCTCGTAGAAGTACAGGCAGTCTCAGTCCCAAGGGAGTAAGTTGGCGAACCACCACTCGCCTCTATATTCTGACATGACAGGATCGAGCACTGTTCTCCGAGACAAAGTTCAACTGGACGACGGAAAAAGCCAGCACGGCTTGGTACTTCCTGGATACTGAATCCGGCAATGTCACAAAGGCTCCATTTGGTAGTGACGCTTCCGAAGTCGTCTGGGTTGGTGATACCGAGGACAGCATTCTTTACGTCAATGCTAGTAACGCAGAAATTCCAGGAGGCGTGACACTTTACACTGCTGATTTGAGTGGCGATTCTTTCGAACCAAAACTAGTAGCATCTCTGCATGCGCCTCTCTCAGGAATCAAGGCTGTGAAAACAGACTCTGGAATCAACTTTGTGGGCAACTGCCTGGCCTATGAGAGTAACGGCACCGCATACAATCCTGAGCTCGTCTCCGCCCCAAAAAGCTCGGGACGTCTGTATGATGCCAACATGGTACGCCACTGGAACTACTACATCACAGCTGAGCGCGTCGCCGTCTTCAGCGGGGTCTTGAACGGTGGCAATGGCAGCTACTCGTATGCTGGCGAGCTCAAGAATCTCCTCTGGGGGATGAACTACACCATCACCCGTCCGGAGAGCCCTGTCCAAGGGTCCTCGAGCGATCCAGGTGATTATGATTTGGCTCCGGATGGCAGCATGGTGGCCTTCCGTACCAAATCTCCAGACCTTCCCAAGGCCAACTACACCGCCAGTTACATCTACGTTGTTCCTTTTGATGGCTCTGCGGTTGCCGTCCCCATCAATGGCCCAGAAACTACTGCTCCCCAGACTGCTCAAGGTGCGTCAGGCGCGCCGGTATGGTCGCATGATAGCAGTAAAGTCGCCTACACGCAGCAAGATGGTATCGACTACGAATCCGACAAGTACAAGCTCTATGTTGCCGATATGGATGGCATGAACAGTCAGGTTCGCTCGGTTGCAGAGGACTGGGACTCTAGCCCGACAGGTCTTAAATGGAGCTCAGACGACGCCAACCTTTGGGTAACATCCGAACTACATGCTTCTGTTCGATTGTGGGCTGTACCGCAAGATGCTGCAGCCGACTTCAAACCAACAAACATCACCGGTCCGGAGACGGTTCTTTCCGATTTCGATATCTTGAAAGATGGCAGCGCCTTCGTCTCGGCAGCCGCTAGCTGGACCAGTCGCATGTTTTACAAGCAGAAGCCCGGTGCGGAGAAGAAGGTCCTTTTTAGCGCCAACCATGTCGATCCAGAACTCGACGGCCTAACCTCAGACTCGTATCGAATTCTGAGTCAAAACGATGACGAGATGATATCCAAACCTTTGTCTTCTACCCCACTGGCTTTGACCCGAAAAAGAAGTACCCTCTCGCTTTCATCATCCACGGTGGCCCACAATCCACTCAGGGTGACAACTGGAGTGTCAGATGGAACCTGAGACTTTGGGCAGACCAGGGCTTCGTGGTTACAGCGACTCAGTTTACTGGATCACCATCCTACAGTCAAGCCTTCACCGACAAGATCCAAGCAAACTGGGGCGGTACTCCGTACACTGATCTGGTCAAGGTCTTCGAGCATCTCCGCGACAATGTGGACTACATTGATACTGACCGTGCTATCGCCGCCGGCGCGTCTTTCGGCTGCTACATGACAAACTGGATTCAGGGCCATGATCTCGGTCGCGAGTTCAAAGCGCTCGTCTGCCATGATGGAAAGATCAACCAAGTCGGCTCCTACGCTACTGACGAACTCTGGTTCATCCAGCGCGACAACAACGGAACCGTGTGGAACGAGCGTGCCAACTACGAACTCTGGGATCCTCTTGCCCACTTCGCCAATGCCAGCACCCCTCAGTTTGTAATCCACAACGATCTCGATTACCGCGTTGTACAAGCGGAAGGCTTCCAGACTTTCAATATTCTGCAAAGCCTAGGCGTGCCATCGCGCTTTTTGCACTTCCCAGATGAGGGACATTGGGTCACCAAGAGGCAAAACAGTCTGTTGTGGCACAACTCCATCTTCAACTGGATCAGGTACTGGGTTGGTCTCGATGACGAGCTCATGATGGATGGCGTCATTACCCAGTAGTTTTCCTTAACCTATAGCGACCTTCGTCTAAGGATGCGATCCACTTGGTAATAGAATCAATAGAAGTCATTAGCTTAGTCGCGAAACGTACCAAGTAATGTTCACATACCATTCACACCGGCTCTAATCCAACAAAATGTTTCACGTATTTCGAAGTCTGAGCCAATTTCCTCTCTATTGTTGTCATCTGAAAATGAACCAATACTTCTGTGTTATCAACCAGGAACTTCATTTCTTATACAACGAATTGCACCTAAATACCGGGTACTCGCAGTCGAAGGGTCTATTTTTGCCTGGGGTTGCAACTATCCCCTAGGCGTATATCGGAGATAATTGTGGGCCGGGATATAAGAGGTTAGTGTCGTGTATACGTCAGGGTGAGCGGTAAGTTCTGGTCTACTAAGGTCGTGGTATCAAAGTATGCTTCAAATCAAGCTTTCATTCATGCATGCGAATTTTGTGACGAGTTGTCAATATTTTGAATCCGACTTCACTTAGTGTATCTGTACCTCATGAAAGCTCATACTACTGCATCGTATCGTGGACTTCATGATTATTTCTAGGTCACCAACTATTCCTTAAGCCTAGCTTCCATCTCATCTTCCCCAACAACCGGAGCATTCGGGTTCGGGGTTCGAGAACATGTTCCCCGTCGACTTCACCACTACATTTCAAAATCCTCGGTGAAGCGGCCACCACACCTGATATAACGCGCATATCGTTTCCTATCAAACGAAATTTCTTCTACTGAGTCTCATCGCAATAATCGCAAAGGTACAAGCGTTCGCGACGTGGCTACTCGCCACCATGAACTCACCCAAGCCCATTGACCCACAATGGTTGTCGGACACGCTCACACCGTACCTCCGCTACGCCTTCAGTCATGCGCTGCGCAGTAATGCTAGGATCAAGCCTTATATTCAACGCGCTGCTAATGCCTGCAAAAACAACCTTGTACGTGTTGTCTCATGCTTGGTCGCACCGCCCGTGTGGCGCTGACGTGATAACAGAACACCCCGGGTCAAGATAGCGATGCACAATTTGAGCACGTTTTGCAAACGGTTGAGCGCCGCTGCCGGGGTCTCCCTGTGCAAACAAACGTGATAACAGATAATCTGGAGGCTCTGGCGCAGTTTCTCATTGGGAGGGCGCAAGTAAAGGGACCGTATGAGCTGCCAGATCTTGGTACTCCAGGTGGTGGCGATAGGTTTGGAGGTAAGAGTGCAGGTGAATTCCTGTTCTTTCAGTTTGACGTTCTCTCACTTGTGGCTGTTTTCCCTAGAGCTATGAATATCACTCACATTCTGAGCATGTTTACTAATATAAAGTCTAGCCTTTTTAGCAAGCTTGCCGCCCAAGCCAGTGCTTGGAGACAAACTCATCGATCCGCGACTTTGTTCTGCACTCCCTGGTCAGTTCGCCTCATCAGAACTATCAGGAACCTTAAGTAAGGCCGAAGATCAGTTCTACCGGAGAAAGGATCGGAGACGCAAGAACTTGTTTACTATGCCTCCCTCGACAACACCACAGTCTCCATCAACCGTGGAAAAACCTAGAGCTACACCAGGCTCTCTTGAGCCTCGCGACAATCAGCAGAGACAAGCATCATTTCCTCAGCCAGGTCACCAACAGAGTCATAAACCAATTTTTCAGCCAGGACCTCAGCAAGGCTTCGGTGTACTAATACCTCGGGAGCAACCTACTGCGTACAACGACATCATGTCTGGTCGGGCTGCAGTGAACCCTGTTCAATCACGTCATGACCAAGCGCAGGCTGGATCCTTGGACACTTCAAAAAGGCCAGCTCATACAAACACCTCAGCTCCACGCCAACAGGAAGCATCTACATCTACATCCGGACCCTCTCCGCACCCTCCCCAGACCAACGAGTCCGTTTCTCAGCAGCAAAATCCCTCCCACGCCATCCTCTCCCAACCTCCCGCCCTCCTATCCCAACCTCTTCAACCTCAACAAGTCACTGCACCCACCGCTCCTAACCCGCCCCACCAAAGTGAGTCCACCACCATACCAGACATACTCCTCTGGAGCACCTCCGCCGAGCTCGAAGCAGAAATGGCTGCCTTCCGGAACCTCCCCCGAGCCGAGAAGATGGCTAAACTGACAAAGATTCTCTCCTCACTCCAGGCAAAACATGCGGAGAAGGTCTTGCCTCCAAAGAGCGTGTCACGCGAACGCAGGACTTCTGTGGGTAGGAGCCGTGTGACGAGGTATGAGATGAGGAAGAGACAGGATGCTGCTATGAGGTAGCGCCACTATCACAGCGCCGGGGGTAGGTGGGGGTTGATGGGGAGGTTGCGTATCATCCCAGGTAGTCAAATGTGAGGTGTAGCGTTGAGGTACCGGGTGCGCATTTGCAGGTTACGAAGGAGGGAGAGTGAAGGATGAGATGCTGAATCTAATGCTGTGGAAGACGAGTAATGGTGATTTATGATAGGTGGAGAGTTCGGTCTAGCAAGGGTCGGGGAAGGCCAGAGATGATTCATCGGATGCCGCATTCCGACGTGAATGCTTTCTGACATGATTGCTGTAAGGGTCTGGGACTTAGTTTCCAGTATCATGACTTGAGCAGGTACTTTATCAATTGATAGGTAGTTAATGCAAGTTACCTCAAGGGCTATTGCTGATAGAATACATCTGTATTAAGATTGAGGTCTGAAGTATAATTGAGGTCTGAAGTATAATTGTGAACGTATATAACATGAACTGAAGCGAAAAGACCGGCCATCTTCCCTATGAAACTCACCCAGCAAACGCCCTCACTGGGGTCTCCGTAAGCGACTTCTGTGGATAGGCCAATATAAGCACAAGTGCTACAGGTATAAGTCCAGTAGTAGCCAGGACATCATCCAAATCCAGCCCAGGCGCAGCATAGCTATCACACACACTCTTCACATCAATACGCTCCAAGCTTCCCGGACCCTCGTGTTGTAGCGCATCAACAATCAGCGCGTACGTTAGGGGATTAAGCAAAACACCAGAATGTCCGTAGAAGGAACCACCCGCTTGGCCCTTGCATACGGCCTGAACCTCGTTGTTCGAAACGCCCACATTGCGGGCATCGTTGATGAACGCAGATGCAGCGGTGCCTTCCTGTGGCTGGACAACCTCGTCGAAGAAACTGGAGTAGAAAGTCGTCGTGGGCACATATGCGCTGTCGCCGCCGTTGCTCCTTAGGGATCTTACATAGTCTGATGTAGCTTCTTGCTGGATAACAGAAGGGGCACAAGGCAGGAGCCCTAAGTTGCTGTCTGGTGACAAGCAAAGCAGATTGGCCAACACGGTGCCCTTGAAATCCGGAGATACGGCCAGAAAATCCTTGACCAAAGGGCGAGTTGAAGGCCAGTGCTTGAAAACCCATTGTGTGTCCAGGCCGCCTTGGGACCAGGATATGATGGCTATGTTTTCTTTGTTTTGTTTGGAGATGGCGCTTATGTAGTTGATAGCGTAGGCTATGTATTCGGCGTTTGTTTGAGCATCGCCGAGCATGGCGCCGGGGATGTTGAGCCATACAGGGTCGGCATAGCTTTTTCCTGTGAGCAGCTTGCGTAGGTTGGAGGCGAAGTTTGTGCCGCCGTAAGCGCCAGTTCCTGGTACAAAAATGACAGGGCGTTTGCTACCTGCACCGTAGACGAAGCTGGGTGGGATGTAGATAGCTTTGCGTAGGGCAGACTCTGAGAGCGTATAGGGTGCGTCGGTAGCGTTCTTCTTTGGATAGATGATCGTCGGTGGCGAAGGATTGTTGGTATTAATATTGTTCTCTCCTACTGGCAAGCCGCCAGTAAGGGCCGCTTTCAGCGTTTCATCGAGAACAAGGCCGTCGACTATTTGCTCCGCAGCAGCGGAATATAAGTCTTGTCGTGGTGATGGTTTCGTCCAGATGTAAGCTGCTCTTCCCATCGCATCTTCGATGTTGGTAGGTCGTGTTAGGGGTTGTAGTTGCTTTAGGATATTGAGCACTTTTGTTGGATCACCCTCTGCGACTGCCCTATTGATATCTCCGAGAAGGTTTTGTACGAACGATACTACACCGGGCAGAAGGCCAGGCAGCAGACCATCTGGGGCTGGGGTTGGGACGGCAAAAGACTGCGAGACAATGCCCCAAACCGCCAGTGATACACCGTGAAGACGCATATTGACAACGACTTGACAGAAACTCTAGATATCTCGTATTGCAGGATGAAGGATCGAAGGATTGAAGGAGCCCTGCAGGTCATCATCGGCAAGGGCGTTCATTTCTTATGCATCAACACGACTTCTTGACATGAGTCGTGGGTCCATGAACTCGTCACTTCGTTCTATCCCCGCTCGAGGTCGTAGGCTCAGGAACTGCAGCTAGGATTATACGAAATGTTATCTCCTATCGTTCCGCGGCCAGTTAGATAGCTATGATGTTTACCATGATTCCCCGTTTTGGTAAACGCTGCCGTGTCATTGACTAGCAGAGGTGAAACCTGCCGCAGCAACATCTTAGTGTACGACGATCCTCGTGTGTATGACGATCTCCATAGGGAAGTGCAGAATTTCCCACGCTTTGATATTGGCCCCCATGCATGACCATGTCTCCCTCGGGCAGATCATGGCTTTCTTAGGCAAATCAGGTAGCGGGAGATATGGGATTTGGCTAGCGTGCGTCACTTACGGGTTCATAGTGCTTTTAGGGCGGTTCGCATTCGTGTTTTAGTCTTCGATACCTCAGCCAACTCATTGCTTTTGCGCGGCTCGCCAACGTCCAGGGTCTTGACAAACATACCAAAATATTTTGTGTCCCATTCATTGTACGAGGAGCGCGTTGATACGGTAGTAGATAGAGGAATAATGTTTGCAGTTGTCATGTTTAAAAGGAACGCGTTCGTCCGAAAGCGGATCAAAGGTACGTGGGGATGCATTGCCGAGATTCGCCAATGCTAACAGGCTACGTAAGTTAATTAGGGTTTCTCTTCGATCGCAAATGTGCTGCGTCGATGTATCTAAGCCAACGCCAACGCGCCTTCCTCCGCCTTCCTCCGCCTGACATCAGCGTCATCTCGGTTCCCGGAGACCGCGCGTCCTGATCATCGACGATGAATGGAAGAATGAACAAGAGCTGGTTTCTGGCAAAAGGCAGTGCCATGAAGTTTGGCAAAGATCCGGTAGCTACTGCCATGAGAGTAGACCTATCCGAGCCTCTGTGCTCAATTTGAGATCAGTTCGGGATGGAATAGACACAGTACTGGAAGTAGTAGTAATAGTCTGTAAGTGCTCTTGGCACGCCGATCGACCCCTTCCAAGACGACCAGTTGGGCATACAAGCCAGTAGGAAAATGTCCCGCACATCTGTGGAGATCCCGAATATTGATCTACGCTGCAGCAAGTTCTATCTACCATGCCAGATCTGGTGCTAGCGACAGCCATTGTGCCAAGTCCATCTAGTACATAGAAGTGAGAATCACTCCTCCTTCTTCGGTCAGGTCGAAATATCATAACTTCCCGTGACTACCTAGGTAACTGACCAGCTGACCAGCCGATAGAGCCAATGTCTTCAATCATTGGTAGCATGGACATCGTGATTGGGAGAGACCATGATCCGGTCACCGTGGGCTCTATCTCCGTCCAGGCTGTTTTTACCGCCAAATCTGCCTAGAATAGGAACTTGCCATGGCGTAACATAAAACATGGTGCGTATACTCATGGACCACTCGGAATTGATTCATCGGGCGAAAGAGAAGTCGCCCAGAGGCATGTGAGTTGCCGTCAGGCATGATAAATACAAGACATCACAGCTTTTGCTATAGATCAGCACACTACAATTTGTTCAGACAAACCCGTTTGACAAACTATAATGTACAAGACATATAAGGGCAGTTGGCATCATATCTCGTCATAGGAAAATCTGCTCACGGAATATAAGAAAGGTATCCCAGAACAGCAACACAAATAGCCAAAGTAACACGCTGTTAACGATGGTTGACACTGGAAAAACATATCAAAACTCTGAAGAGAACGCCAAAGACGACCCCCAAGCCCCTTTGATACAGCCAGGTCCCGATGACAGTGCGCCTTACAAACTCCCCTGGCCTTTGATGGGTCCTTTATCCAAAAACAACGAAGCTCGAAACGTGGCTGATAATTGGATTGGAAATGAACTTCTTCCTCGCCTTGAGGACAAGTACGGGCCCCAAGCCGTCAAATCGAATATGATCAGTGGCTACTGGCCTGGCCTATTCGACAAGGCCATGGTGCTGGGTGCCATGTTATCGCGTTGTCTAGAACGGAACAATGATTGCGATATAGATCATGTGGTTTCAGAAATTCTTTCTGGCCAGACATTGAATGATTTGTACGCCACTGTGGCTAATCAGAATACGGAATTCTTGATCAACTCACTAGTATTATTAGCTGCAATACCCAAGCTAGCTCCGATTGAAGCTCATAGGGAATCATGTAAAGAGTAGTCAGGAGTTCCACTGCTTCTCTGTTTGTCAATGATATGACAAGGTATTGGAACATAATAAGCCGTTGCTATGGATCAGTACTGGTTACATAAGCTACAGGTTAAATGCTGGATTATCCCAACTCTCAATCTGCTTCCACAAATCAACGTCCCTCTTTGTAAACAGGTCTGCCAAAGATATTGGGATAAATATGCATGTAGCTCGAGCACTTTATGTTCAATATTAATCGTTGGTATTTCTCTGTTGTCTACTGATGTTAAGCTGTTTTAATTTGGGGACTATTTCTAAGGCTGGTGGTGAGTCACATGCGACGAACTCTGGATCGTGTGCTTAATCGTTCACAAAAGACAAGTAAGAAGTATAGTAAGCCTGATAAATTATCCTCATGAGCGCGAAAGCTCCAAAAGTTTCAGCGCTGAGTGTTACAATGACCTGAATACCGATGCGGACCCTCGTTGCGACCACTTTGCCCAAGAAGAGTTCGCGATTATGCTTTGGATAATGCTGGATGAGAAGGACGAGGATAATTCGGTGGTTGGTAGTTGATGTTGAAGGCGACTCCGGTCGAGAGGGATGCGAAAATGATAGGATAACAGGTTATGATTCCATTAATCAGACACATTAAACGCCTATGTATTCCCTAGTGTGCTCCATCCTCAGCCGTGGTAGCAGTCATTCATGAAGGAAAATACCCATCATAACATCCGTGATACAGTACCCGACGCATGGATAGACGAGGTCTACTTTTGCTTCCATCCACCCGCAGGCGGCATTCCAGGATTTGTCATATCGCAGCAGCAGCCATTGTTGACGCACTGGCAGGATCCACTGAAGCCCTTAGTGAAGAGTTAGTTATATGTGTGACTGGTGCGTTTTGCATTTTCTCCTTGCGTGGCTGATAGATTAGGGTAAACTTACATCGCAGGGGCACTCGATGCAGGCGATGTGTACTGTGTCGTCGCCATCACGCGCGGCAATAGCCTTGAAAGAGCGGTTGAGAGAGATCTGGCTGATGTTTCAGCTTTTTTTTTTGCGGAATAATCCAGAGAGACCATAGGGGTGGGGAAAGCAGGATTCAAACTTACAGCTCCTGGGGCGGCCAGTACGGTGGCAGTGTAGATTGCCGTGCTGATGAGGAGGATGAACTTCATTGTGTATAAATGGTGGTAACCGTTGATCGGAAGTGATATGTGGGGTGGTATGCGTGGAAATGGTGGTTTTGCAAATAATATATAGCGCAGCTGTGAGTCTCTTCGAGAGATGAACGGTGAGGGTTGAAGGTGAGTAGTGGGTCGGTTATCAAGGACAATGATATGACGCTCAGTTGTCGTGGTGAGCACCTCATGGGCTAGGTAGTGCGCTTTTATACACTTAGTACTGCCACTGGTAACAGCTAATCTTGGCGGTGCTGGACGAATGAGTGGCCAGGAAGTGCGTGAATGATTGCTATTGTTCCCACAATCTCACCATGACTGCATCGAAGGATTAGTCCTCTGTTCAGCCTTCTGCAGTACAATATTGACCGAGCAACCCAGCTTCCTTTTTTCACTGCTTTCCGGTCAATAAAACAGATTTGGCGTTCGTTGTCGTCGCTGTTCTAGCTTTAGACAGGCTGGATAATTCCATTTCACGAACTTCGCCGCACACCATCATCCATCGCTCCTCTGCGCCACGGCTTACTACAGTCTCAGTGGACTCTTTGATCCCCGAGGCGAGAGGCACGGGTAGTTACGATGTTGGTCGGGCGTTAAAGAAAGCTCATATGCCTTCCTGCGATGGTCAATCCCGTTCTGCGCCGCATTCTCACACCCTATGAGCTATGAGATAGCGCCTGGCCAAGGAACAAATTCCAGCGAATTATATTATCATTTCCAGTGATTACAGATGTAGAGCGTTGCCTATTGCTGCGCTGCGCCGCACGTAAGATGGAGGCCTTGGGGCCGAGATGTCAGCGCCAACATCGCCAACAGCGAACAAGAGCGGGACCCAAGAAACCCATGGAGAAGTGGCGACTAGTTATTATTAGTAAGCCATTGGGATCCTGGTATTCTCTGTCTCACATTGTGTTGGGAATGGGAAGAACCGTAGGGAAAAGATTGGTGCATCTTGGGATGAGCACAGATTCGAACTTTCTCTATCTAGCCCCACCGTCCGTCACTCACGGGCCCTTGTCTTTTCATTTCCTCAAGTCACTCCGACTCCTTATATGTGTCACTTTTTTTTCCCTTTCATCGGCCGGGGAACCAAAAGTTCGCATCAGGAGCGAGGCCAACGGCAGTCGTTCATGCAGCAGCCGCTCGGGACGCAATAGCAATCTCCATAGAAGCCCTAAAACCCTTTCGTTAGCTTCTTTCACAGAAAAAAGAGGTAAAGGACTGAACTTACATCGCAAGGACACTCGGCGCATGCCTCTAGGACGCTGGTGGACGCGGGGTGATCGGAGTTCTTGACGATCCTGAACGAGCGCTTGAGTGAAGACTGTGAGACTGTAAATCAAGTGCTCCTGTAATACAGGTCAAAGCAGAGGAGCATATGAATGGCATCGGATGTTCACTTACAGCTCCTGGAGCGGCCATAACGGCGCTGGCGAAGAAGAAAGTGGTAAAGAGTGAAGTGATCTTCATGGTTGTGGTCGTCTTCTTGAGCAACTTTTCAGGGCAGAAAACAAGCCTCGCAATCGAAGATTTTAGTGGAGTAGCGTTGGATTCAGATACGGCAAGGCTGAGGCGGTATTTATAGGTGCACTGACAGTAGCGAGTCTGAAGACGGTCAACCGGGACGCCCTAGTAGAAGGACATTGAATGTCGAGAGCATGCCATCATCGCTTGCTCCAAGGCCCACATAAATAAGAGCGCAATTGAAAACAAACACAGACTCACTAGTCCGGTTCACGAGCTGCCATCAAGGCCAACATGCAAACCCAAGCTCATTGAAGCGTGCTTTCACAGATAGTACTCACGTCCGTCTTGCGGTAGGTACATTCCATTCGAATGTGCGTAGAACTTTACCTCATATGGCATCTTCCTTCCCTGGACTCCTTGGTCTTTCCCATTCAATATTTGATGGTATTGGAACAAGACTTGTTCACGTGTGATTGTGAAAGTGCAGAGGACACGTGCCTAGCCTTGGTTGTAGATAATGAGATGAGGAGAGACTGAGACCGAAATAGAGAGATGTTGAGGTCTTTGCGGTAGGTTTAGAAGCGGCGAAAGATAACTATCTAGGTACATAGTACTATTGGTGAATGTCCGGAGCGAGAGTCGCTATACAAATCTGCACTTAACTTGGTAACTGCGGCTCTCATACACGCTACACGACTCATCCTAAAATGCCATGTATCGCAAAGAGCCGATAACTGATGTGGTTCGCATTCGTATCTAACAGGTAGTGCCTCGTTCAGGAAGCCGCACCACGATCACACCACACTGGGCGCATCTTTCCTGTCATACTGATCACGCTTTCTGATGACTGGAAGGCGATGATATATGCGCCTGTTTAGAGATAGAATGTCATGTCTCTGGTACTGAGTTACTGGCTTACTCGCAGCCAACGCATGTTGGTGGGGCTATTGAGAGATCGCGCCGACGTCATAACTAGTTAGTTAATGCGGGAAACGCGACGCCCTGCTAGAAGCTGTACAAACTGGTAAATAACACCAAACTATAAAACAACGCACAGGGAATACTACTCGTTGTCTTTACAACAGTCACACAAGGCTGGTAGATTATCGAAGAAATGTCAAAGTTTGGGCATCTACCTCTTGCCACGTCTGGGCCACAGGAGACCAGCTTAACCGTACATTTTCTTGAATCACGTATGATAATATAGACTAATATATTGCCTAGGGAAATGCGCTCCTCCGAACGCCTTACTTCAATAAGGGCTCTGCTTTCACGAAAGAAGAACGTGACACATTCAAGCTCCATGGCCTCCTTCCAACGAACATCCAGATCCTGGACGAACAGGTTAAGCGCGCATACGCACAGTACAAATCTCGTCCAAGTGATCTAGCAAAGAATACTTTCATGACGAGTCTCAAGGAGCAGAATGAAGTGCTGTACTATAGAGTACGAGATGGTAGCATATTGTCGCTCATGGCTTTGCTGATGTGTGGGTAGCTTATTCTCGACCACCTCAAAGAGATGTTTTCTGTCATCTACACTCCCACGGAAGGCGAAGCGATAGCTGATTACTCCAAAATCTTCCGACGGCCCGAAGGCTGCTTCCTCAATATCGACGATGCAGACCGTGTTGAGGACGACATGAGCCAGTGGGGTAATCCCGAAGACATCGATCTGATCGTTGTGAGCGACGGACAGCAGATTTTGGGTATCGGGGACCAGGGAGTGGGAGCTATCTTGATCAGTATAGCTAAGCTTGTCATCTATACGCTATGCGCTGGTATACATCCATCGCGGACGCTGCCTGTCGTACTCGACTGCGGCACTGATGTAGGCCACTAGGATCTATTTCACATCAGACTTTGACTGAAACTATCATAGAAAAAAGAGCTTTTGGACGACGACTTGTATCTTGGTATGCGCAAGGAGCGAGTCAGCGGCGAAGAGTATGACAATTTCATCGACAAATTTATCAAAGCCGCAAGGAAGCTTTATCCGAAAGCCTATATCCACTTCGAGGATTTTGGCTTGAACAACGCACGGAGAATATTGGAGAAGTACACACCAGAGATCGCATGCTTCAATGACGATGTTCAAGGGACTGGTTGTGTCACACTTGCGGCAGTCATGGCGGCATTCAAGGTGAGCGGAACCAAGTGGGATGAGGCTCGCTTTGTGATGTTTGGATCTGGGACGGCCGGTACTGGTATCGCAGACCAAATAAAGGATGCCATTGTCCAGAATACCGGTAGGTCGAAGGAAGAAGCCGGAAGCCAGATTTGGTATGTATCATACCAATGCGGTTTGGCTTCTAGTGCTAAATGGGTTCAGGTGCGTCGACAAGCCCGGCCTGCTTCTACAAGGCAAAAAAGACCAGCTCACTCCAGCCCAAATGTCATATGCACGAGAAGACAATGAGTGGGCAGGTAAGGACCATGGGGATCTGTTATCAATCATCAAGGAAGTCAAACCACATGTGCTAATTGGCACATCGACTAAGCCTGGTTCTTTTACAGAGGAAATCGTCCGAGAAATGGCCAAGCATGTCGAGCGTCCTGTCATCTTCCCGTTGTCGAATCCGACAAGGCTCCACGAAGCTAAGCCGCAAGATCTGTTTGACTGGACGGATGGCAAAGCACTGGTCGCTACCGGCTCTCCTTTCCCGCCCGTCAAACATAATAGCAAAGAGTACGATATTTGTGAGATGGTCACTAAATGGGAATATAAAGAGCAGGCACTAATTGTGAATAGCCGAATGCAACAACTCAGTGACATTCCCTGGTATCGGCCTCGGCGCGGTCCTCTCCCGTACCCGCCTTATGACACCTCCCCTGCTCGTCGCCGCCGTCAAAGCCCTAGCCTCTGCAGCTCCGGTCCTTAATAATAGCGGAGCCGGTCTTCTTCCGGACGTTGAAGATGTACGCGATATCAGTGTCCAAATAGCGAAGAATGTGATCAAGAAAGCGGTGGAAGAGAACTTGGCACAGGAAAAGGACATACCAACTGACGATGCAGACTTGGAAGAATGGATTAGGGAACAAATGTGGGAGGCTGAATACCGCCCGTTGAAGCTAATCAAGCACGACAGTGCAAATGCACACGCTAGGGGTGAGGCAGGAACGGCGTCTGGCCAGAGAGAAGCGAAGTTTGAGCATCAGGCTCAATGCTATACTTTCGGATGAGGCTGAGAATCGATGCGCCTGGCCACGTGCGGCAGTTTATCGCCTGTCTGGCACTGATCAACTGCGTCATACATTATAATCATACATCGTTCTTGTCACGGTAATGGAGTGGACTACCTTCCATTTCGCGAAGACGGTCCGCGTGCTCTTGCATTTGTAGTATCAAGAAGTTCGTGAGGATACCGTACCCGATACTGCCATGATGTACAAAGTCGCTTCGTACGGTTACGGTTATTGCGGCCTGGTGTGGCGTTCAGCAAGCCCGTAGTAAGCTACCGCTTACGACAAAGGAAGCTCACTAACATAGACGGCCGTAAGCCACGACCGCGTATGGCCCGTATACTCTCGCATCATCACGGCCAATAAGACATGGTCAGGCTTGAGCATCGACACTATTAAAATGGGTAAAAACGCCGCGTAAACTGGGCAAGACTGCACGTATATGAGAAATTAAAGGCCGCACTCTGTGCTCGCGATTGTAACGTCAAAGGCACACTACTGCAGGCAGAAAATGATGCGGTGTTAGGGGGCTTTCGTGGCGACGCTTTGCCCTATTGCAATGTTCGGTGGTCCACCACTACAGGGGGTTGAAGAGACAGTTGTTTTGCCCCGCAAGCGAGGCCTGCTCTCCCGCGTTTCGCAGATGTGTGTGTAAAGACACAATGATTCGCCAGCGTGTCAAGCTCTGCTGAGGTGGGCCTAAAAGGTGGTCGGCGGCCAAACCAAGGCAGGCTTGTGGAGTGAGTCTTGCTGGCCGTGGACCAAACAAACATTGAGTGTCGCGCGACGGTCGACGGGCCGAGGTACACAAACATTGCAGATTGAGACCAAGCTGCGGTCAAAGATAACAGAAATTTTGCAAGATACGTGAATACGACATGGCGAAGAGAAATGGGGTGTTTCTTTAAATAGATCAAGGGAGCGTGCAATCAGGCTAGAGGCAACCTAGGTAGCGGCAGATCGGGCAGATACCATGCTCGAACGAGGAGCGTGACCCTGGTGATATGCATGGCTGCAGCCATAGCGGCTGCCAGACACATTTACATGACTTGCCATGTCGTTGGTTGGAATCGCAATGATTATGACTTACTTTTGCACCAGCTGAGAAGCCCATATTTGACATTCGGATGGTAGCAAGCCTCGAGATGTTGTGCACGACACCAACGTAAACGATCCAACCCCATCTCCAACCCCACGAGAGCCGCGGACGGCCAAGTAGACATAAGATGGTGGGGAGGACCTCGCACCATCACGATTTAGCACCGCATCTGGCGTCGAGGACGAGAACGAGGACGAGGACGACAAGTGACGGCAGCGAAAAGGGCGTCGCCTTCACCAGCAATGAGGGCAGTGCTCAAAACAGACGGGCGGCGTACGACAAGCGGGCGCGCACTCTGTCCATGAGCTCAGAAGAATCAGACGTCGAGTCTGGCGACCACCACCTGCTCTCCGCGTCTTCGATCGGATATACCGACACCATGTCCTCATCGGGCCAGTCGACGGCCATGACGTCCGCTACCACCTACGATGACCGACCGGGCGTTGAAAAGGAAACTGCGACCGCGACCGCGCCTTATGCCTACCCTAGCCTTTCCCTGCTCGAACTAGTCTCCAACACTGCCTCGTCTTCTGCACTGCCGGACAGCTTCGACGTCAGTGTGTCGAGAAAGGGCGGATATGTGGCTGTGTACTCGTCCTCGAATCTGTTCTTGATCAAGACGGTGCAGCTGCCGCGACTTTGGACAAGGACGCTGCAGGTCAAACGAAAGCCCGTGGCCATCGATGTCACCGAAGATGGTTTTTTGCTAGCGGTGCTTTCGAGACCATCGCAAGTCGATCTATACGAGATACATGGCGAGGGCGATGATCAGATCACCAAGAGGCGGACCGTTATGTTGGTACACGAAGCTAGCTCCGTCGTCATATCTCCAGACGCACGCATATTGATTACGGGGAACAAGTTTGGCATCGAAGTCATTGCCATTGGCCCAGAGGTGCCTGAGACGACACGGCGCACCCTTTCTGGACCTGCAGGCGACGCTCTGGAATTCTCAGATGACGGCCGAACGCTGCTTATCACAGGCTATGCCCGAAAGTCGGATGGTTCGGCCTTGTTCGTTCTCCCTGGCCTCTACGACGGCCCGCTTACGGAAGAGGGAGAGCCGATTCCCCAACCTCCGGAAACGGCCTGGACTGGCTCGGTGCTGTTCCCGGAGACAGCGCGAATTGCACGACAGGCTACATTACTTCCCGATGCGGATACGGGCACGTTTAATGAGCTGTTCGCCTTCAACGCCGAGGAGGACTCATGGGGTATCTACGATATTGCCTGTCAGCGCTTCACCCAGAGGAAGATGTTTCTGCCTGACCACCAGCGATGGACGCGCTCCGAATTCGTCGATGACGCCATGCCGGCAGTATCCCCGAACGCTGATTTAGCCGCTGTCGCTCTTCGCATGCGCGGGATGACCAACATCTGGATCTATGAAGTTCCAGGCTGGGAATATAATCCAAGTGACAAGGAAAAGCAGGATACTCCAATCCAACCGTGTTTCTGCATACCAATTCCGAAAGATGATGCAGGTACACTTCAGGAGATTTGTGCTCTACGATGGGTCAGAATGGACGCCAATATACAGCGACTGGTGGCAGTCGGTAACTCGAGCATGCTTCCAGACGAGAGGGACGTTCCTGGTGCACCACTTGGCTCGAAAGGAGTACTCATAGTGCTAGATTTCGACAAGACAAAACCTCTCGGAAGTGCTCCCCCCACGCCGTTGAAGACAGAATACGACCTGGACCCTCTTTGCCCTGGTGAAATGCTTCCCGAAGGCTCGATCGACTTTGATCGAGAGGTCGAGTTGGTCAGGACAAGGACCATGGCCCAGAGAAGAGCTCAAGATCGAAATGAAGTCTCACGAAGAAACTCCAGGATTGGGTCTACCCAAATCCACCGTGCGCGTACCTCCGCAAACCGCAACTCACTACGGCCACCATTACCAACTGATGAGTCGGAAGAGTTGACACCAGAAGAGGCACAGGCAATGTTCGAGGTACCATACGACAACCAGCAACCGAGGTCGCAAATGTCACTGGCTAGGGCTGCCACTGTTGCGGCGGTATCTCCTGCGAATCGCCGACATCTACGAGCACTCCCCTTGAGACCTTTGGAGTACCGCCGCGCAGACGGTCACCGCGAGATGCCCCACGAAAGTGATGCGGACAACTGGGTGCCACCTCCGCCAGCATACACGACAACTGCTGCAGCAGCAGAGAGTGTCAGTCTCAGTCACCCTGAAGCACCCCCAGTGCCCCGGCTGCATCAGATGCATTCATCACCCTCGATTCCCCCTGTTGTATCTTTGCTGAGCATATCTGCAATCAACCACTTCTTAGTTCCGCAACCGCATGCATCCATACCACCGCCGCCAGCGTCTTTTTCTTCCGCCTACTATCTTCTCTGCAGCAAAAACGTCCAGAGCCTCGCCCCTCACTTCCTGCACCCGTCCACGTATCCCAGCCCGCGATCCTCAGGCTCGATACGAAGACGGGGCTCGACAACCCCAATCGCCACCCGAGCAGATGTCGTATATGCCAGGACCCCCGACACAGTCACCCATACTCTACGAGTTCTACGCACATGGTGACGCGCAGACCTACCATTGGCCGTCCCGAGCGTGTTGTAGAAAGCAATCTCGATCTCTACAACCCGCCAGTTCCTGGTATGAATCACGGGCGACGCGGTTCAGCGCCAACTGTTCAGCGTCGGCCCGTGCCTACGCATGGTACGCGTATGAGTGTGCAGCAGAATATGCAGCAGCCGAGAGATGGGCTGCCACCACTTGCTCCACCTGGACAGCAGTACACGTCGGGTCAGAGACTACCGATCAGTGCGCCACCGCGAACAGATCAATCTTACGTACATCCCTACAGACATGCACAGGGTGGTTTTCACAGAGCAGCATTGAGTCATGGCAACTTACCGTTGGGAATGAATAGCTCATTGCCCACGGTTCCCCCGCACAAGGAGAAGAAGGCGAAGAAGAAGATTGGCTGCATTATCATGTGAGACGAGCACGTACACAGATATGGGAGCGCGCCAGCAACGAATTTCACGATTCTTATGATTATTACTATACCCTCATATTTGGGAATTTTTTTTGGCGTCTTTACGGGCATTCGTTTCTTGACAACGGAGTATACTTTTTGAGATAGCTCCTGCGTGAAGGCAGTTGAGCAAGGGTGTTGTTTCTTTCTGTTTGTCCGAGTACGACGACGGGGTTCATGACAACTGGACATATAGTAGACAAGACTAGGATAGGCATAGGGAGCAATCCATGGGTCATAGGGAATTTTTCCATATATACTGTAGCTGTCGGATCGTGAGTATCGGTAGAGACGTCGGCTGCTGGACACTTCGGCCCGACTTCGGCCCACCTTGCGCAAGAGCTTAGGTATACCTTCGTAGCACCTATGTTCGTAGATATCAATTAGAACCACCGAACAGAATGCATTCCTAGTTATCGTTATTTCCCTTTACGCACTTAGTGCAAAGCCAACCAACACTGATCAGTGATTGCTTGAGGCGATCACAGACAGCAAGGAAGAAGAGACAGACCGCATCTTTGACAGCCTCCCTAACGCACGACGTTATACTCCTGAGAGAAGATTCTGTGCTAAGAACAGAGCGAGGCAGAGATAACGCATAGCGATCAAAACCTCCCTCTAAGCTGCTAATCCAGGCCGAAGCTCGATTACAGCGCGTCAGCAACGCACAAAGACACACTGTTGAAATCCCGACGCGAGAAGTCTTGGGACGACTACAGCACGTCAGCAGCGCAGAGCGACAGACTATTGATATCCCGACGCGAGAAGTCTCGGGACGACTATAGTGCGTCAGCAACGCGTAGCGATTCCGTACGAGCGTCCCCGGACGATCCTATCACGTACAACCACAAGCGCTGGAACCGACCAACCAGCTAGACAAGACAAGGCAACGCGTCAATATACACCGGCACGATGGCAGGCAGCCAGAGCAACTCTGGCGATACAGACGCTGATGTTCAAGAGCAACTACTCAACTATCCATCCGAACGCAATACAAGCAAGCGCGCAGAAACTATATCCCCAGGAGCGAAGTTTACTGCTGAACACCTTATGCGACACTGTCCATACACAGTCACGTTTGACTATATCAACCCATCTCTCTGGGGTGTACCCGCACCAGAGGATGCAGACGAGACGCACGCAACAACCTGGGTCGCGAAGGCTATCCACGACTACCATGTAGGAATGGAATGGGATGAGAGACTATACTTCGACTACCAATGGGACTTTGAAGGATGGACACGAGAGCTATTCCAGAAGGTTGAGCGCACTACGCTAAGATCTCTGAAGACTGTGCTCCGGTATAGGGGAGTCTATACAGGCAAATTTCGGGCTAGAGTAGCTGATTCCCTCTTCAACTTACTAGGAGGAGAAAACGCTCCCGAATGGGACCCTGCAGAGTTCAAGGCCGAGAAGTTTGACGAACGTTCTGAGGCGTACCAGCGTCAGCAGAACGCACATCTAGCAGCCCCTATAGATAGACAAGCGCAGCAGCCACTGCAACAGACGCAGCCACTGGAACCGCTACAGCCGCAGCCACAACGTCCGTCACAGGGCGAGCAGTATAGAGTGAGACAAGGCGTTCGAAGCCACCCGCAATATCAAGAGCTACAACAACCGCCCTACGCGATCAATGCCTATGCAGGACCACAGCCTCGACAAACGGAGCAGGCTATGCAACCACAACAATGGTACCCGCAGACACAGACACGACCCCCAGCGACCGCATACCGCGAGGTGACACCTTTCCCTCAGCAACCTACAAACCGAGTACCTGACAGACCCCTTGGCCTACCACATGACCCGTACAAGACGCTACCGCCGCGATGGTCTCGCAACGATCGGCTCGAAGCCAATACGATCACGCAGTTCTCTAAGCTATGGGACAATAGCAACAAGTATACAGGGAATGCGTACGATCTCCTAGACGATAAGATTAAGATCTTCTTCAGCATCTGCTGGCAGGTAGATATCCAGGAGGAGCAGTTTCACGCAGTGTTTCCCCGTATCCTTACCGGGCGTGCAGAGACGTTCTACATACAGGTTGTAGAGAGCGATGATAGCTTTGCTGATGCGTACATGGCAATCAAAAACCACTTCGACCATGACGTCCATCACCAGCACTACTACACAGACTGGACGACTACAACCTTCGCTCGCACCCGCGCAGAGAACCCTGATAAGGGACTACACGAGGTTCTGCAGATCCTGCTTGACAAGCTGCAGCTATGCCAGCGTGCCCTTGGCAAGAACTTTGAGGGTGAGGATGCCCTCCGCACTACGGTCATCAATGCCTGCCGAGGAGTACCAGAACTTGAGATGGCACTGTTCAAGCCAGCCACAATCTGTGAAGGACTCTTCTCAGATCTACGATCCGCAGTGGAAACACACCTAGCACGGCAACACACCGCCCAGTTGGTCACAGAAGATCAATACTACCTAGACCGCCGATACAACGGCAATGGAAGGATCCGAGGTGGATCTCGAGGTGGAGGAGGATTCAGAGGCGGATCCAGAGGAGCATACCGAGGAGGCGAGCAGCGCGACGACAACGGACGAGGATTCAAGCCACGTTGGAGGAAGAAATGCTTTGTTTGCCGGAAGGAAGGATGCTGGTCTACCAACCACACAGATAAAGAGCGCAAAGATGCCCGTGCGCAGTTCTTCTCTACGCTATACTTTACAGGTGCACAGCCCCCTGAGGACTTCTCCGTACATCTTGCAGAATACGAAGGGATCGAGCACACCAGCCAGTACAATCAGAGAGGCTGGAGAGAGGAGGAAGACTGCGAGGATGACGAGGATGACGACGTCGCGGAAGCACATTCTGAACACCAGTTCTTCAAGGAGCAATGCCTTGCAGACCAGGCGTTCTTGCATCATATCTCGGGCGACGACATATACAGCCGAGACGCGCCGTCAGCACCAGCATCGCAGTTCCTGCTTGAGGACCGCTACACACGATCTGTGTACCAAGGAATCCTACCAGATACAGGCGCTGCAAACGTATCCACGGTCGGCAAGGAGCAATACCTCGCACTTACGAGAGAAGATCCGACGGTTAAGTTAGACACATCTACAGCAGGGAAAGCGTCTATTAAATTCGGAAAAGGCGAGGCTACAGCGTCGATTGGCACCGTGCAGGTCTCTACGGAGATCGGAAAAATCAACTTCGAAGTGCTCGAGGCGCCTACGCCGTTCTTGCTATGCCTTGCAGACATGGACCGCTTAAAGGTATACTTCAACAATACGACAGACGAGCTGGTTCAGGATGACGTACACATCCCGGTGATTCGCAAATGGGGACATCCTTGGTTCCATCTAAACAAGAGAGAGAGAGCAACTATGTTCCTAACGGAGACAGAATTGCGACGGCTCCATCGACGGTTTGGACACCCAGCTGTTACGCGACTAGTCAAACTCTTAAAGGATGCTGGCCATAACGACTTCGAAGAAAGAACCCTAGAAGAAGTCACTAAGTTCTGCCACCACTGCCAGCTCCACAGCTCCGCGCCGCGCCGATTCAAATTCACTCTTAAGGATGATCACCACTTCAACTATGAGATCCTGGTGGACGTAATGTACCTAAGCAACAAACCTGTACTGCATGTGGTCGATTCCTCAACAGCGTTTCAAGGCGCGAGGTTCCTCAGCGCTATCTCAGCTAAAGAAACATGGCAAGCACTGCGGATACTATGGATCGACACCTACCAGGGACCACCCGACATCATCACGCATGATGCAGGTACTAACTTCGCGAGCGCAGAGTTCCGCGCAGAAGCAAAGATCATGGGAGTCACATGCAAGCAAGTACCTACGGAGGCGCACTGGTCTATCGGCAAAACTGAGAGGTACCATGCCCCTCTACGCCGGGCATGGGACATACTCCATGCAGAACTCACTGACACTATGTCCGACGACGCGATTCTCCAGATGGCTGTGAAGGCTGTTAACGATACTGCTGGCCCTGATGGACTAGTCCCGACGTTACTAGTCTTTGGAGCGTACCCACGAATGACTGCAGAGTCACCGCCATCACCATCAATGGTCAAACGCAGCGAGGCTATTCAAAAGGCGACGAAAGCCCTGCGCAAGCTCACTGCAGAGCGCCAAGTTGCAGACGCCTTGAACACCCGCAATGGACCAGCCACTGCAGACATGCTCGCGCTCCCACTCCAGAGCGAAGTCTTAGTATGGAGAGAGAGTGATGGCTGGAATGGCCCGTACAAGATCGCCAGTACAGATGGCCACAACATCACTGTCGACATGGTTAATGGTCCAGCGACATTCAGATCAACTGTCGTTAAGCCATACTACAGACCAGACCACCTGTGGAGCGACCCTGATGCGCCACACGCGCCGAATGAGCCGAATGAGCCGCACGAGCCGATAGCAGTACCTCCGGCAGCGCAACCACGTAGAAGAGGCCGCCCTCCAGGGTCAAAGAACAAGCGGAAGGCGCACGCGTACATCACCAAGAAGGAGCAGGACGATCTTGAGCTAGCTATCAAGCTACGGAACGATGGCGTGATCACAACCTCAGGCGCCCCCTTTGAAGCGTCTGATGACCAAGAGATCAGCGACCTAGTAGGTCGTGGAGTCTTCAAGTTTGAGCAATACGACGAGAGGCTACACAGCAAGATCCGGATCTTTAAGTCACGCCTAGTACGTGAGGTCAAGGGAAAGACAACTAAGCCTTATGAGAAATCCCGTCTGGTTATCCAAGGCTACCAAGACTATGGCAAGGAGGCTATCTTAACGCAGTCGCCAACCATCCAGCGATGTAGCCAGCGCCTGATTATGTCGCTGGCGCCTGGGCTAGTACAAAGCGGCATGAGCGTTGAGCTACGTGATATTACGCAGGCATACCCACAGGCTCAGACAACACTGAAGAGGACGATACTCGCACACCTCCCTACCGAGCTGGTACATCGATATCCAGAAGGCACGATACTCCACGTGATCAAGCCACTATATGGGATCGCGGAGGCAGGAGTCCACTGGTGGACAACATATCACGGACACCACTGCAAGGAACTAGATATGTCAACATCTACGTACGACCCATGCCTGTTGATCACGAACAGCGACGACGCAGACGTCTTCGGCATCGTCGGTATGCAGACAGACGACACCCTCATGCTCGGAACGACCGCGTTCTTATCACGCGAAGAGAAAAAGATCCAGAAGGCGCAGTTTAGATCAAAACCAAAGGCTATGCTGACACCAGAGGTGCAGTTAGACTTTAATGGATGTACACTTACGATGGACGCCAGCAGAGTCTTAATCCTCAGGCAGAAAGGACAAGGAGGAAGGGTCAGGCTTGTTGATATTAGGGCACCCGACCGCGCGCAACAGTACACCGAGCAACGCGCCCGCGGAGCGTACATCGCATCAACATGCCAACCAGAGGCATCATTTGATCTGTCCGTAGCTGCTCAAGCGCAGCAACCATCAGACGAGGACATTAAGGCACTCAACAAGCGCCTGAAATGGCAGATGGAGAATCTCACTCGTGGCCTACGCTACGTCACTGTCAACCTTACGGAGGCTAAGTTGATAGTCTTTGTAGACGGCTCCTTTGCCAACAACAAGGACCTCAGCTCACAGCTAGGCTTTGTCCTCATGCTCGTCAACGAGTCCATTGGCGCCAACACCTTCACAATACAAGGCAACGTGATCCACTACAGCTCTACAAAGTGCAAGCGCATCACACGGAGCGTACTGGCCTCAGAGATCTACGGCATGGTCAACGGCTTTGACATAGGCATCGCGGTTGCAACCACGCTAAGGATAGTTACAGAACGACTTGGACTACCTGCAATTCCCTTGGTTATCTGTACAGACTCGTACTCCTTGTACGAGTGCCTAGTAAAGCTTGGGACAACGAAGGAGAAGCGCCTCATGATCGATATTATGGCGCTGCGCCAATCATATGAGCGTCGCGAGATCACGGAGATCCGCTGGATCAATGGCGAAGACAATCCTGCAGACGCCTTCACGAAGGCATCGCCAAACCGCGCTCTTGAACGCTTTATTGACGGCAATAAGCTGACAGTCCGAGTAGATGGATGGGTGCAGAGGCCAACAAGCTTTGATGTTTAATGCTATACACTGTCACTACCGATACAAGCAGAGTTACTAGCTATCCAGAAAGAAAAGACTTCCAGTGTCGGATCGTGAGTATCGGTAGAGACGTCGGCTGCTGGACACTTCGGCCCGACTTCGGCCCACCTTGCGCAAGAGCTTAGGTATACCTTCGTAGCACCTATGTTCGTAGATATCAATTAGAACCACCGAACAGAATGCATTCCTAGTTATCGTTATTTCCCTTTACGCACTTAGTGCAAAGCCAACCAACAGTAGCTTCTTTTATTGAACAAAGGGTAGTGGAAGATTTGTGGTGTTTTGAGCTGGGAACATACTTTACTAGTGTTTCCCATCTGAGCTAATCATCAAGAGCGTATCATAGACTAATAACAGAGTATCTAATTCCATAACTATATGTAGTGATTGAGTGTCATACTGTACATTCTTCGACTTACTGATAGAATATGAATCACCAATAGAGTCTGAGAGAGGTACTCACTGCAGACAGCACAATCTCACGCTGATCTATTTCAGGATGTGGGTATAGCGACAATTCACAGTCGATGTTTCCATCACCCAGTCTCACCGCAATAGATTTGATGATGGCTGGAGACATACACACACACAAGCCGATGGGAGAATCAAGTATGTAGGTAGCCAAGGAGTCACACTCTTCGTAGGATTTCTCCGAAGAGCGAGGAAGTGTGAACTATGAAGGACCTTTTTATTTATTCTTGCAACGAAGAATGCACGTACGGGAGTACAGCCGCAAACACCACACCCAAGCAAGACGCAAAGATGTGGGAAGCTCCCCGAAGGGACTTGTCAAAGGTGTCGTAGACCAAGTGGCTGGTGTGCGGGTTGCGTCCTACAGTGACGAATATGCTCGTTGACATGAACGTAGCGCCAATTCTCCTTCACCTTAGAAGGGGGCATTTGCATGGCAATGATGTTTGTGGAAGAAAGCGCAGCACTCTGAGGTCTGGCGAAAACTTCCAGATGGGCAACGCACGTGCCATGACGCTAAGCTAGCTCGCTCGAGGAATCGCGCGACCTAGAGCTTGACCTCCAGCGACGAACTCACCCGCGATCGCGACTACTTACTTCCCCCACTCGACATACAGCTACCGCAGTCATGACGAAAAAGCGCAAGAGATACCCAGATCTGAACCAGAAGCTAGAGGTGAGAAATTCGTAGACAAACTGCATATTTGGCACAGTAGCTGACCTCAGCAGCGACCATGGTGTTACTACTGCGAACGCGACTTCGACGATCTTAAGATTCTCATCTCTCACCAGAAAGCCAAACATTTCAAATGCGATCGCTGCGGACGACGGTTGAACACAGCCGGAGGTACATGAGCCCTCTATCACCATATCCCCTTGGGCGGACTAAGGCTTGATCAACGCATATACTAACACTCACAGGTCTCTCTGTGCATATGAACCAAGTCCACAAGGAAACGCTCACACATGTCGAGAATGCCAATCCGGGTCGACAAGGTCTGGAGCTTGAGATCTTTGGTATGGAGGGTGTACCAGCAGAGATAATCGACCAGCACAACCAGCAGGTCACACAAGCACATTTCGCCGAGGAACAAGAGCGTGCGCGCTTGACAGGAAACCCGATGCGCGGAGCTTATGTGAATGGACAAGCGGCGCCGAACAAGAGGCCGAAGATCAACGAGAGCTTGGAGGAGATTGAGGAGAGAGCGGCCAAATTCAGGGAGGACCGGAAGAATGGTGTACTTCCAACGCCCGTGGAGCCGGCACCTACAGCTGTATGTCTTGGAGCAGGGGAGAATGATCATGTGGGGCTAATCAATTCACAGACACCACCAGTTGTTCAATCACCGTATGGTGTACCGCCCCCAGGCGCACCCGCGGCTTTCCCTCCTGGCGCTGCATTCCCTCCCCAAGCCGTTCCTCAACCCTTTTCACCGGCCAATGGCGGCATCCCTCCACGGCCAGGCAGCATACCGGGCCAGCCTGGAGCGTTACCTCCCCGACCTGGATTCGGTGCACCTCCGCCTGGCGCAATTCCTCCCGGCCAGAACGGCGAAATATTCAATTCTGTTGACGAACTCATCAACCAGGTCACAAAAGCAGCTGCGACAAAGGAAGAGAAGAAGAGCAAAAAGGACAAGAACCAACGACTCATCTTCTCGGACGATTTCATTAGTCCAGAAGAAAAGATGGCTGCCCTGTCCAGGTTCTCCGACTTCATGCGGACGTAGGCGGCGGGAAAAGATGGCGGGACTTTGAATAACGCGTGAATAACCATCACAAATGTCTGCCATTGTCAAGCCTGCTGTAGGGTTCAAATGCTGGGGGTTTTGCCGTTCTATTCGGTGAACTCTAGAAGAAGACAACCAAGCTTGCAAGAAGCTGAGGAACCCCTCACACAGGCCCCTCATCCGGCACAATGAAGCAAAAGAGTAAGCCGCGTCGGAGAATTGAATAGGCGGTGCATGTTAGACAAATTGGGGGTTTCTCCATGTAGCATTACGTAGGAGCGAGCACGTCATGAATTGAACGTTCTTGGAATCCGTGTCTTCTCAAGCGGATACATACATGATGCACGCAGAGTCTCAATCACATGAAGCTAATTGTATCGAAACCATAGCAAACGATTGTTCCTCTTCAAATCAGGGTATCTTGCATTTTGACGCAGCCAAACTATACAATTACATAAAAACGTGATGACGGTGACGAAAGACGCTGTTCTTGGTGTGTAACCAAGACACTCATTATCAATGGTAAAAGCCAGACTCTTCACCTTCTTCTTCCTCATCTTCCTCATACTCTTCACTTTGCTCGTCTTCACTACTGCTGCTGCTACTTTGATCCTCGCTAGCCCGCGCCCACTCTGAACTCTCAGTGAACAAAGACTCGCCGAGGTCGAGGCCGCGGGAGTGCGTCGTAGCCATGATATCAGCCCTGTGTGCCTCGTCTTCTGCACGTGCGCCGTCTTCCTGCTCAGGCATAGGGTCGACTTCACGCAGCAAGGCTTTTTCATCCAGATCTGCAGTGTTATCGCGGCCATGGCTAGTAGCAAAGACGACGGATTTAGCGGTGCTGGGACGTTCGTGCTCATCGGCATGGTGGTGATGTGAGACGGTGCGAGTGGGTTCCTCGATGATGTCGCCGTTCCAGGGCTGGCATTCCTTGACTGTTTCGCCACAGCGGAGACAGGTCCAGCCTTCGCCTTCTTCGTTTGCGATACGTTGGGCGATGCAGGCGAAGCAGTATATGCAACCGCAGGGCATGGCTTCGTAGGGGTTCGTGATGTCTGTAGCTGCGGAGCCTACGACGCCGCCGCCACCGGCCGACGAGGCGAGTATGTCTGCTTCGCTGGCTGTGGTGGGGTTCTGGTCGCGGTAGCAGATGGCGCATGTGCGTTCGGGGAGGAAACCGAGTTCGCCACTGGCTTTTTCTTCGTCGTTGTCCGAGGAGGTGGATTTTGAGCGGCCGAGGAGGGAGAGGATGGTGGATTGAAACTTGCGGAATGTGCGGCTTAGAATGCGACGCCAGCGCGATATGCCGACCAGTGGGAGGAGGAAGAGAAGGAACTCTGTGAAGGCGTGCCACACGAGTTGACGGTTCAAGTACTCGAAACTGACTTCTCGAGATGTCGCATGGGATGTTGGCGTGAGACGTAGGCGGAGGAGTCTGTCGGTGATGGTTCTGTATCTGCCGTCTACTAAGAAGACGAGGAAGCTGGCGAGACCAAACATGTCGTGTGCGCTCCCTGCCAATTCACTGAGTCTACCCAGCATCTTCAACTTGGTCGACTCGGGGCGTGTGTAGTCTTCCGAGGCGGACAGTAGATAGTCTTCCCACTTTGTCCACGCATATCTCCCTCCCACGGTAATGGCACCGTAGGCCACCTTCTGCCACGGTTTCGGTGGCGGGCGATTGGGCGCATTACTCCTCGCGTCGGTATACCGTAGCCCCTGTAGATGGGCGCCATAACTCGCATTCTGGTCCCAAATACTGAGTTTCCACAGGATAGCTCTCAGTACCAGCAGTATCTCGGCCGAGTAGTTGTCTGTAATGTGGGAGCCAAAGTACTTCAAGCCCTCGCCGACCTGGCCCTTGAGTAGACTCAGCAGTTCCTCGTCGAGGAGTTCGGCATCGACCTGGCCGACGCGAAACTCTGGACGTGTACCAGTGCGGCCTTTGATGGCGTCCCAGACGCTGAAGCCCGTTGTTGATATGGTGCTAAAGGGAAAGGGCAGCCGTGACAGGGCGCGTACCGTCCGGGGCACTTCATGCTGGCGGCTCTGTTGTTGCAGGGCGCGTTGGGCGCGGCGGGCGGCTATGCGTTGCTGGGCTGCGGCGAAGTCGGCGGCGGGCATTGGGGCACACTGGTCGTCGCGCGACGATGGGCGTGTTGGAATCGCGACGTGAAGAATAGCGTGATGGAGATGATGGGGTGAATGCGACGGGCCGAGGTTGGCTGGGGATGCCGTCCAGGTACCGTGGCTGCCGACGACTGCATCATCTCCTGATAATTCCTTACATTACCTGGTTAAATACTTTGGTAGCGAGTCTCTCCCTGTTCTTGGTGAAAAAGAAAATAGCTGTGCATATTGATCGACGCATAGTAAGCGCATTACGCAGCTGTCACCCAAACAGCTGCTTCTGTCTCGGGGGTCCGGGCGGTGACGACGTGGGGAGCTGGGGAGTAGTCTGCGATTTTTGTGTTGCATCCTCACCAAAGACAAAAGTAGCCTTCACCCTCACTTTTTACCAATTGACTGTAGCCTGGGTGAGCAGGCCTACCCCTGCTGTTGCTTTGTCTCCGTGAACTGCGTCTTCCTCAATCCCAGGCGAACGTTCCTTCCTCAGACACTCACTCTGGTTGTTGCTGCCCCACTACCGCAACATCCGCATAGTATTCACTCGTAACATGAACGCCGAGTTCAGTGTTGAGGTGCCAGGAGAGGCGAACCCTCTTACAGAAGGCATCTTATTCCACGTCTTGCGTTCGGCTTCCTCGACCGACCAGACTCAAGTGCAGACTGGCACAAAGCAGTTGCAGCACTGGGAGAAGGCCCAAGGTTTCTACCCTCTGCTTCAGGTATGGGTAGCCTAAGGCGCGTATTTTTAATAAAACTAACGCATCTCAGTCTGTGTATCTGGACAAATCGCTCCCTCTAGAAGTTCGCTACCTTGCCGTCATCCAGCTCAAGAATGGCATCGACAAGTACTGGCGCAAGACAGCCACAAAGTACGCGCCCGATACCACTTCACATCCACGATATATACTAATACAGTAACAGTGCCGTGACAAAGGAAGACAAGAACACAATCCGGGCACGTCTGTTAGAGAGCGCTGTCAACGAGGCCGATCACCGTCTGGCGCTACAGAATGCTCTTGTTGTCGCCAAAATAGTGCGCTATGAGTATCCGACTGACTGGTGAGTATAGCTCTACGGCTTAGCAGCAGCTTCTTAACACTATACAGGCCAGGTTTGTTCCAACAACTACTCCAAATCCTTCGCACCGCTGCCGACCCGAGCGCATACCCACTACAGCTCCCCCGAGCCCTCCTTGTTCTACTATACATTGTAAAGGAACTTTCGACTGGAAGGCTCCCACGAACACGACAGAGTCTACAAACAGTGGCTCCTGAGATATTCAACGTCATAGGCACAATCTACGTGAGCAAGGTACAGGCTTGGCAAACCTTCTTCCAACATGGTGGAGACGATGAAGGCGGTGCGCTTGAGAGCATTGACAACAGCTTGCTTGCCATCAAGGCGATCCGCCGGTTAATCATCGCTGGCTATGAGTTTCCAGGCAGAGACAAAGACGTACAGGAGTTCTGGACACTAACCCGCGCTCACTTTGGAGAATTTCTACACTATGTAACGCCAGGAAACTCACCGCTTGCAAATGAGGTCCAAAAGAAAGTTGGAAAGCATCTGATGCAGCTTTCGAAATTACATCTCAACATGGCTACTACTCACCCAGCAGACTTTGTCCTTTTGCCCAACTCGCTAGATCTTGCGCGCGATTACTGGAGTCTTGTCTCCAAAGTAGGCGAGCAATGGGGCTCCACGTCCATAGAAGGCGCCAAAGTCGGTACTGATGGCGATGCTGAAGATGAGGCACCCATACTGGAACGTCTAGCACTCAAAGGTTTACTACTGATTCGTGCCCTTGTGAAGATGGTCTTCTATCCTACTCAGAGCTTCCGTTACAAGCATCAACAAGAAAAGGACGAGAGGAGCAAGGCCATGGACATGATCAAGACAGGCTTCTTTACTGACGACCTTGTCCGTGCAATGACCTCAGCACTCGTCCAACGCTTTTTCGTCTTCCGACCTAGCGATCTCCGCATGTGGGAGGAAGAACCTGATGAGTGGGAGAAGATGGAAGAAGGCGCAGAGGACTGGGAGTTCGCCATTCGACCATGCGCCGAGAAGCTGTTCTTAGACCTCGCAAAGAATTTCAAAGATTTGATCATCCAGCCTCTACTTCAAGTCTTCTATTCTGTCGCGAGTGGGTACTCACAGCCAGTAGCTACTTCTTCAGCTAACATGCCGCAGCCCCGGAAAACGAGGACATCCTCTTCAAAGACTCTGTATACACTGCTATTGGTCTTGCAGCCGACATACTGCACGATCAGGTTGACTTCGACTCGTTCCTCGAGAAGACATTAGTTGTAGAGGCAACGAAACAGACGCCAGGCTTCAACATCATTCGTCGTCGCATCGCAATCATCATTTCGCAATGGATCCCCATCAAGATGGCCAAAGAGAAGAAGCCAATCGCCTACCAAATCTTTCAGCATTTGTTAGATAAGAGCGACCCGATGAACGATCAGGTCGTTCGAATAACGGCAGGACGAAAGTTCCATGCTGTCGCGGATGAATGGGAGTTCCAGGCTGACCTCTTCATGCCGTACTCGCAGATTATGCTTGACAGGTTGATGGCGTTGGTTCAGGAAGTGGAGCTCCCAGAGACGAAGATGGCACTGCTCAACACCATCAGCCTTATCGTCTTAAGGTTGGAGCATCATGTAAGTCGAAGACGCTACTTCGAAGAAGAACTTGACTGACTTGGTGCAGATCACACCGTACGCTAACAGTATCATCGACCTCCTGCCACCTCTATGGGAGCAATCTGGCGAAGAACATCTCATGAAGCAGGCTATTCTCACGATCCTCGCTCGTCTAACGAACGCCATGAAAGCCGACTCGCGGTTATTTCATATTTCTTTCCTTCCCATCATCCAAAGCGCCATCGAGCCCGGTTCAGAAACGCAAGTCTATCTCCTTGAGGATGCATTGGATTTATGGGCATCGATCATTGCACAAACACCATCCGCTCCGGAGCCTACACCTCCAGAGCTGCTGAGTTTACTTCATTACCTCCTCCCACTCTTCAGCATGGACAACGATACTCTTCGCAAAGCCATTGAGATCACAGAAGCATACCTTCTTCTCGCGCCCTCCGCCGTACTCGCCGATGATTTCCGTCCAGCAATCCTCCAGGCGCTCGCGGATCTGCTGGGTAGCCTCAAAGTCGAAGCAAATGGTATTATGACCCATCTTGTACAATGCATTATTCGCGGTGCACAAGGTGTAGGTGGTGAACAAGCAGTCAAGGTACTCACCAGTGATCTCATATCCACCGGTTTCTTAGCAAAGGTTCTCGAAGGACTTCACGGCGCATGGACACACCACCAATCCCACGGACCCTACCGCGAACTTCCCTCCCGCGCCGTCGATGGTGTCGTAGAAACCGACTACTTCACCGTTCTAGCCCGTATCGCTATTGCCTCTCCTACCGTCCTCCTCGAAGCGCTCTCTTCTCTATCAAGCGAGGGCTTAGAAAAGACACTAGACTGGCTGTTGGAAGAATGGTTCAGCCACATCGAGAACATTGGAGACTCACCAAGCAGGAAACTCATGTGCCTTGTTCTGACAAGATTTCTGGAGGGTGGCCAGCCGTGGATGTTGGCGAGATTGCAGTTGTTGATTGGGGTGTGGACGGATGTGCTGGGTGAGCTGTTGGATGGTATGGATGATCGGAGTCAAGAGTATGTGTTTTCTTCTCTTTTCATTTGCTGTTTTCTTCTTCTGAGAGACTACATACTGACAAGTCGATTTCAAAGCTCCCTTTATTGGCCCCCAGAGCCTTACCACCCAACTGAACCCGAAGCTCCAGAGGATCTGCGTAAACGCGAACTCATCTACACAGATCCGGTCCATCAGATCAACCTCGTCGCTTTCATACGCGAGCATCTTCAGCAAGTTATCCAGCAGGTTGGTGGTGAACAGGCGTTCCAAGAGGAGTGGCTGAGTCGTGTGGATAAGGAGGTGTTGAAGGGATTCGGAGAGCTGGGAATCATGTGATGCGTACTGAGATTTGAGGTACGTCTGATGTTAAGACACTGAAGATTGTACGACTAGGATCTATAGCCGGTTGTCGCGCTCCAGAATAAATACACGATGAGATGTGCACCATGAATTAAGTAATCACAGCGAACGATACTTATAATACAAGAGAAATTGATTGTTGCATTGGCGACTGATAGATTACTGAGCCATCTTTGCTAAACCAGAGTTTTTGAACGCAAGAGCAAGAGCGAAAAACACAGTACATGATGATGTGATAGTTTGATAAATTAGACATAAACTCCTTCCCAGAACGGGAAGAGAATTTCAAAAGAAAGCCCAAGAGGTATCATGGCTTGACCAATACTAGCCAAGAAAGCCGTCACACACCCACAGAGAGAGAGAGACACTCCCAAACACCTATTCCGCTGTTGCCCATCAAGGAAAAAACAAGGTATATATTCCCGCCCTGGCTCCCTAAGAATGAGAAAGAAAAAACAACGCCCTGCTGAATGCAACCTTGCTACACTTTGACGAAAACCCCGTTGGGTAAGTGAAGTCCCGTAGCCAGGCAAACGCTTAGTCTTTTGCGACCTCTGTCCGGACTTCGCCGTTTACATTTTCAGTGTCTCGCTCAGCTTGGCCTTCTTCTTTTTCAGCGGCGGGTTTTTCCTTGTCATCGTCGTTGTCGTCCATTTCCACGTCGGCGGTTGGGGCGGAAGTGGGTGCCATTGCGGTGGTTGTCGTGGCCGTGGGGGGTGATTCAGGTGGGGTTACGACACCAGCGGGGGATTGAGAGCGTGTTGAGCCGGCAGTGGCGGCGGCAGTGGTGGCGGGTGGTACGTCCATGTCGATGTCGCCGTCTTCGTCTGCTTCTTGCTCGCCGGCAGTGGGGGTTTGTGTGCGCGAGTCGGCGGCGGCGGATGGCTGGCGGGTGGATACGGCACTCTCGCCATTGAGCTCTTCTAGACCGTCCATCTCGTCGGCCGGGGCGGCGTGGGGATTGGGGTAGTCGGTGATATGCCGTCTCTTCTTCGTGCCAGGCTGGGCACGTACTCCCAAGCTGTTCTTGTAGTCCTCGTCGTCGCTTGCATCGTACAATTCGCCCTCATGTTCGATTTGCTTATCGCGCTGACGTTGAGTCATTCGGACGTCCTTGTTCTCATCCGCATCGAGATCGTCATCTTCGTCTTCGGCATCGGAATCCATCATGCGCGTCGCTGCCGCTATAGGGTTGTTCGGGATGTTCGTAAACGCCTCGACCGATGGCTTTCCTGTTCGTCGGATGTTTTCAATGACGGCCGACTTGATCTTGTGCAGGTAATCATGAGAGTTTGCGTTTTCCATATTCGATGGCCGGACATCTAGCTCATAGTCGGGAGCAAAGTATTCGTAGTAGTCGTTGAAGGGCAGCTGCTTTGCCATCTTCTCGCCAACCAACTCTCCTGTTTCGTATGCCCAGGTTCGTGCGACATTCCTCATGGTGTATCCACCACCTCCCAGAACAATAACGGGGACGCCGAAGCTCTTGACGTATTTGACACAATTGGCGTGGCCGTCCATGCTCAAATTGAAGCAACCGAGCCTGTCTCCCGAGAGACTGTCACCACCGCATTGAAGCACAATGGCTTCGGGGCCATAGTAGTCCATGACGGCTTGAATGACAGGCTCAAAGATGTTCCTGTATGTTTCGTCGGTGATGCCGTCTCGCAGGGGAAAGTTGACCGAATAGTTTTTGCCGCTTCCGACACCAATGTCGCGTAGTTCACCAGTACCGGGAAAGTACTCGCCGTACTTGTGGAATGAGACAGTCATGACGCGATCGGTCGTGTAGAAAGCCTCCTCGACGCCGTCTCCGTGATGGACATCAATGTCAATGTAGAGCACGCGCTGCTTGTAGCGAAGCAGCTCGATAATACCCAGAACAATGTCGTTGACATAGCAGAAACCACTGGCCTCGCTCTTCTTTGCGTGATGCAAACCACCGGCCCAGTTGACAGCGACATCACATTTGCCTCGGTTCAGGCGGGCGGCACCTTCCATGGTTCCGCCCGCGCTGATGCCACAGAACTCAAACAGGCCGTCGAAAACAGGACAGTCGTCTCCGACATTGTACTTGCTTTGTTCGCGCGTGAACTGCTCCATGTTGTCTGGTGTCACTTTGTGCAGGAATTCGATGTACTCGTCGGTGTGGAACTGCGTCATCTCGTATTTTGAGGCTGGTTTTGCGCGCTGCGCCTCTATTAGCACAGAAATCTCAAAATACAGTCGCGGTACCTACATAAATTTCCATCTTTGTGTAGAGGCCATAGTTCATAATCAAGCTATGCGCCATGCGTATGCGATGGGGCTTCATGGGATGACCTGCAACATATGCATAGTTCCCTACGTCGGAATCGTAAAAGTAAGCGACTTTCTTTGGCTGCGTGGCGGTGCCGTTGTTGAGAGAGGACGAGCCCGTCGTTGGGGCCATGCCGCCTTCTTCGACCATATCTTTGTTGGCTGCGCACAGCTATGCGACTGGGGAAAGAATACGAGAGCGTGGAGAAGACGGGGCAAAAGGTAGAAATCAATATATGCTCTCGGTGCAAGTATCCGTTGTAGCGAAGGCGACTGTGAGAAAACGAAACTCTGGTATGTGGAGGGGTTGGACCTTGGGCGAGAGATGGCGGGAGCTTTTGGACAAAGACGGTCGAGGGCATTGAGCATAGAGCTGCTGCAAGGGTCCCCTGCCTAGGGCCGGCCCCGGAATAACCGAGGCGCCGCATCTGGCAATCGCGTAGGTACGTGAGAGAGCTCCAGGCCGAGCATCAACAGCTTCATCGCCGAAAACGTCGTCGCCCATACAAACTCAATAACCTTCCCACTCTGCCGGGCCGCTCATTTCTACGACGCGAAAGAAAGCCGAAAACGAACAGCCGTCTACAGCCCGTCACCCCGCCACTATGGACCGATTAAGCAGAATGCTCGCCGCCGCTCAAGGCATGGGCGGTATGGGAGGAGGGCCCCAGGCCGACACCAACCTGATTGATAACTCGGAAACCGTCTACATCTCCTCGCTTGCACTTCTGAAGATGCTACGGCACGGTCGGGCTGGTGTGCCTATGGAAGTCATGGGCCTGATGTTGGGCGAGTTTGTGGATGACTACACGGTGCGAGTGGTGGACGTCTTTGCCATGCCCCAATCGGGTACTGGTGTTTCCGTTGAGGCAGTAGATCCCGTCTTTCAGACCAAGATGATGGATATGCTGCGGCAAACAGGAAGGTACGCAATTGTCGTCTAAACCCCGGATTCGCCCCACGCTCTCATCGACCACATGCTGACAAACACAGGCAAGAGACAGTCGTGGGCTGGTACCACTCACATCCTGGTTTCGGCTGCTGGCTATCGTCGGTCGATATCAACACTCAGCAATCGTTTGAGCAGCTCACACCCCGCGCCGTGGCCGTCGTAGTCGACCCCATCCAATCCGTCAAGGGCAAGGTCGTCATCGATGCCTTCCGCCTCATCAACCCGCAAACTCTCATGATGGGCCACGAGCCCCGTCAAACCACTTCCAACGTCGGTCACCTCAACAAGCCCTCGATCCAAGCCCTCATCCACGGCCTGAACCGCCACTACTACTCCATTGGCATCAACTACCGAAAGACAGCGCTGGAGGAGAACATGCTAATGAACCTCCACAAGCACGTCTGGACAGAGGCCCTGCTCATGGACGACTTCAAGGGCGAGGGCGAGCGGAATACCGACAGGCTGCAGAAGCTAGTCACACTCGCAGAAGGCTATGAGAAGCGCGTAAAAGAGGAGACGGAGTTGACCAAGGACCAACTGAAAACACGATACGTCGGAAAGGTCGACCCAAAGAAGCGTAAGTACAACTTGACTTGCATGACCATGACCTTTACTAACAAATCATCACAGATATTTCGGACGTCGGCCAACAGCTCATCGAAGACAACATCGTCTCCGTCTCACGGCAGATGATCGACAAGGAAGCCTCAGTACCAAAGTCCAACGGTCGGCAAAACGGCCAAGCACACGGCGGCGACGACGAGATGGAGGAGTAAAGAAACAATTGCCTTGGCACAAAGACGCCATGAACAAGCCGGCCACCGGAATATGCCATGTACTATACCAGTAGTAGTAACTCCCCGCGTCAGAAGGAAGGGAGGGAGCCCCAGCGATTTCTCACCTTCAAGGAAAGGCATACGATATAGTAATGCATAGAGTATGAAAGTAACGATATTACCAAAGCTCTGCTTGCTAGGTTCCATGGTTGATGACATGATCATATGCTTTTGCCTGTGACGTAAACATATCGGTCCGGCTAGTATACTGTGCCGCTAGTGATTAAACTCCCGTCTCTTTTTTTTTCAATGTATTGTCCCGTTCATCTGACGCGTCTGGTGACGAAGGTTGGGTGCAAAGGTAGAGCTTGACCCATGTCATAGTTTTTGCCACAGCACTGTGTGCACGATGTCTTTGGCAACTAGAATCTTCTATGCTGTTCTGGTGACGGTTCATCTACATGCTATTGGTAGTTGGATGGATATTTGATACTACGATAGTAACACGTCATCTTCACGTTTGGATCGAGCACACACCGCATGTTTTGAATCTTTCTTTAATACCTCTATTTTAGTTACGTATCTTTTGACGCCGTGACAAGTTCTCATGGCGTTTCACTCTGAGCCTTCTTTCATATGATGAGGGTGTGGGTGTGGGGGATTTAGGGTCGGGACGGGAGGGGGCACATCGCAACAGAGGAAAAGTAAAACAGGTAAAAACAACAGCAAGCAGACAAAACACCTCCCCCCAACCAACCAAAACCCAACACTGCGCCAGATAAAAAAAACTGTTTCCCATGATTTCATGTCTCTTTCTTTCATACGCCAACCATGTGTGCCTAGTTTGCAGACAACAACAGCAACAACAACAAAAAAGCGAAAAACGGGAAAAAGGATAATGTATAATCCCGCCACACCTCTTGTAGGAGAGAGACCATTTGGTTTGTGGTATAAAACAGACAACAAATTCACCGCCCGCCAGCCAATGATGCAAAAACCCGGTTTCGTTTTTCTTTCAAACAATGAGGAAATAGGCATTTGGGGACCGAGATACTGTCGTAAACACGGCCGTTTCGTCGCGAGAGAGAGAGAGAGAGAGAGAGAGGAAGTCGTAACGCCGTTTTGCACATGGGATATTCGGTCAAGGACAATTGCACGAAGAATCCTCTTCCATAAAATATGAAGGAGGCTTTCATGCAATTGCTCGAGGAAAACTCCGACAAGAAAAAGGAGACGGTTGATTTCGCGTCCGTGATCGTGATTGGGGCTAGCTGAGTTGTACATTTGTCAAAGGGCGTATTGTTGTTACATGGTACTCGTCGACGAGTGTTTCATGGGCCATACTTGACCATTTGTGCGTTCTGCTGTAGCAGTATGTTACATCAGCCAGTCTCAAGGTCGCCATGTCCAGCCAGACTAAGGGTGGCCATGTGGTTTACCTGAGCTCTGCTCATGGTGTGATCCGTTTAGGCCTCCTGGGCGGTTCTTCTTCGCATTCTCGTCATCCGAACTCGAATGGCTACTGCTGCCATCTTCGAGATTAATCGTTCCGTCCTTGGATTCCCGGCGGAGCCTATCGGCTTTGTCCTTGAGGTATTGAGCCTGTTCAGCCGCTCGCTGTGCGCGAATTTGCTTCTTCCACATTGCAGCATAGTGTCCATTACGATCAAGCAATTCCTCATGTGTGCCCCGCTCCTGGACCCTGCCCTTGTGCAGGACGAGGATCTGGTCAGCGTGGGTGATTGTGCTAAGACGATGAGCAATGATGAGCATAGTGCGACCCTTTGCTAATGTTGTGAAAGCTTCCTGGATGTGCTGTTCTGTTTCCGTGTCGAGCGCTGCGGTGGCTTCGTCAAGCATGATGATACGCGGGTTCTTCAGAATAGTACGAGCAATAGCAACACGTTGCTTCTCACCTCCTGAGAGACGTAGACCACGGTCACCGACCTTGGTTTCATACTTGTCCGGGAATGTCATGATCTTGTCGTGAATACTGGCAGCTCTGCACGCCTCGTGTACCTGTTCGTCGGTTGCCTCGGGGTTGGCATACTTGAGGTTGTACATGAGTGTCTCATTGAAGAGTACAGTGTCCTGGGGCACGACGCCGATGTGGCCACGTACAGAGTCGATGGTAAGATCTTCCACGTCGTGTCCGTCAACCTGGATGCTTCCGGACATGGTGTTGTAGAATCGGTACAGCAGGCGGAAGACGGTTGATTTACCGCCACCAGACTCACCAACGAAAGCCGTCGTGGTACCTGGCTCGCAATGAAAGTCAAGTCCTGTCAAAGCTGGCTTACGCTGATCGTAGGCAAAGTGCACGTCCTGGAATCGAAGATTACCCTCGCATGTTGGCAGCGGCTGTGCATCTTCTTTGTCGACCACGGTAGGTTGCTCCTTGAACAGCTCAAGCATTCGCTCCGAGTTGATCATAGCAGACTGGATCATCCTGTAAAAGGTGCCGAAGAAATTGAGAGGACTTTGAAGTTGGCCCATGTACGTGATCAACGTGACAAACTTGCCAACTTCAAGTTCTCCTGTCGCAACCTGGTAGGCGGCTATGAAGCAAGTTACCAGTAGACCGATCATGAAAACCATGTTCTGTGTGATATTCATGATGTTCAACGATATCATGACCTTGTACTCGGCGTTTTGATACTTCTTGACAGCCTCACGGTAGCGATTGAACTCGTACGCTTCAGCATTGAAATACTTGACCGTTTCATAGGATACCATGGAATCATTTCTGCATATGTTAGCTGGTGAAAAAAATAGAATGCGCTCGGAGCACTTACTTCACTGCGTCTTCTTCTCTGTCGGCATTGACCATCTCTCGTCGAATCTCAGCACGCCATTGCGCCATGCGAATCGTCAGGTAGATGTACCAGAAAGTGACAATGGCAATGACAAGCGCGTAGTATGCATCGAATCTGACGAGAAAGTAGCCGATGGCGACAGCCAAATCAATCAGCATAGGGACCACTGAGAAGGTCACTTGCTCGAGGAATGTGTTAATAGAGCTACCCTTTCCTAGCGCAGACAGGACCTCGCCTGTCTTCTTGCCCAGATGAAAATCCAAACTAAGACTGTGCACGTGCTCGAATGCCGCGACGGAAAGTTCGCGATAAGAGTATTGGGAAACGGGAATCCAGAGCGCCGATCGCGTCGCACCGAGAAGTCCGTTGCTACCCTGCAAGAAGCGGAAAGCAATGTAGACCATGATGGCGGTCCACGGGTTGCCCTTCTCGGGGTCCTTGAGGCGATTGACGATTTCACCCGTCAGATCAGGTACTAGGACGTTGACGACGCGCTGCGCGAGCACGAGCATAAAGCATGCGACCACGACTAGCTGCAACTTGCGATCCTTGGAAGGCCAGAGATAGGGGAAGAAGACATGGTAGCCCTTGATGTATTCCCACCAGCTGCGCGCGGGTGCGCCAGTGGGCCTGCTCCAGGCGGGCGGTGCAGCACCCTCAGACGGCTGATGTTTGCCACCAGCTCCATTAATAGCGCCGTAGGAACCGTTCGCATGACCATTTTCCGCGTGACCGTTTTGGTCAGCGCCACCCAAGAGAGACGTGCTTTCGCCCGGACTTCCTCTCTCTTGCTGGAATTTACGCCGAGGCACAATGACAAAAAGTACGTAGAATACGATGAGGGCGAGTAGGAGCAGGATGCGGAGCAGGTCCATGGCCACCTCGGCCGCCTCCCAGTCGGTCATTCCGAAACGCAGACGCTTGGGGGGTTCTCCGACGGTCGGCTCCTTATGAGGGTGCGTGTAGATGGCAAAGGAAAGGGCGACTAGAACTATCTCTAGCACAGTGCCCAGAGTCCATGTTGCCAGATGGGCCTCGGTTGGCGAGGGCTTCGAGTCGAGGAGGGAGATGAGAAATAGACAGTAGACGAAGAAGGAGCCAACGAGATAGATCTGCAAGAATTAGTTCATTGTTGAGATGGATATATTGAGAGAGTCCAGACACATACCACAACGGCTTTGCCCGCCCACCAGTGCTCCTGCTTCTCGACCAGGGCATGCGCGACAGTGATGACAGAGTTGCCAACAAAGGTAAAGGCAGTCGCCAGCGACACCCACTCGAATAAGCGCTTCTGGGTCTGGGTGACATCGTCGTGGGCTGTCCTCTTGACAAAGTTGCGGGTCGGGTCGGTTGCAGGCAGCGGCTTCCCTCCAGGACCAGTTGTAGTAGGTTTGGCGATATTAGAATTAGTTTTGGAAGCGGCAATGCTGCGTGTTGTGAAGGCGGCGAGGAAGAAGACGAGCATAAGGATCGGGTAGGCATATTGCAGAACGGCGATGGTGTCGCGAACAGGGCCAGCATAGGACCATCTTTGGCCGTCGTCTTGGACAGTCATGTGGGCCTGGCGCAGCGGTGCGGCCATGATGCAGCTTCTCTCCACTTCAATGCGAGGCCCGGATGCGAGGACTCACAGGTGGCAGAGAAGTTGAGGGCGAGGGTTTAGGAAAGAGGAAGGAGTTGATACAAACGAGAAACGCGGTGACATGTTGGACTGGGACTGGGACTTGGGTAGTGGGCGAGAGAGAGGCTAGACTGGTGGCGCACATGCAGCAGGCATTAGGCCGGTCGGGGACGTGCTCAGGATGGATCTCGACCTCGCACCCCGGGGCCTGCAGCTCCAGGAGTCCAGGGACACACGACAACTCACGGCCACCAGCCGTCGGGTCCTGCAGCAGCCTGCAGCTCATCACCACTGGTCGACTTTTCTGATTTTGTAGAACAGGTACTGTAGCTGAACGAGGGCGCCACCAGCTGTCGACTGTTGTCAAGACTGTCCACCCACTTCAACGCCCCCCCCCCCCAAAGAGGCCGCGTCGTCGCTTTTGCCATGAGGTGCCGGACGTCGCCCTAGTGCACCGCTCAGATGACTGAAAACAATCGCCGCACGTCAGCGGTCGCCTCGCCCAAGATACCGCCACCGCCGCCGCTGCCTCTACCCAAGCAAAAGTCGCGCTCCTACTTTGAGCGCTTTGTTGCACAGCCCTTGACTACCGCCTACGGCTCCCGTCCACCGAGCGTGCAGCAAGGTCATGGCCCAGAAGGCGGCCTTCCGAACCCTCTAGTGCCCAAACTTACCGGGTAAGTAGCGAGCGAGCCTCCATGTACTGTGTCTACTGCACTGTCTGTCGTATATGGTACCGCATCATGACAATGTATGCTGGGTCTGGGTATGCTGGGTACCACCTCCGCGTACACCATATACCGGCTATGCTCGCATGCTC